CTTCGACTCGTGCGCCGCATATGTTGCGCCGGAGTGGATAGTGTGTTGCGGTGACAATGAAAACTCCTTGTGAGCGATTTCACTTCGCTCTGGGTGAGTAACAATAAACTTGAGGAATCATGTATTCACAATTGGTGTTCCTTGAGTTCTATTTGACTGGCGCAGAACGGCTCTGATGGACAAATGGACAAATCCACCCTCTCTACGGCCCACCCCTCTTGCACGTGTTTACTGTGCGTCTGCAATTCGCCAATAAGTAATCCTGACAGCCAGAAAGTGATTGCTGCCCCTGAACCCTATCACATTGCATTGTGTTGGTCACCTGCAGCATTCCTACAGCATGTCTGTCCTCGCGTGCTCCTCCACTCGGCCAGCTGCCACGCCGTGCGTGGCTGGGGTCCAACCCCGTGCAAAGCCCAGCCGGGCGGGTCCCATTACCGCTAGCCTGCGCGTGGTCACCCCCGCATTCCGCCGTGCCGACAATGTGCAGCTGCGATCAGTGCGATCCAGCGCCGCGCCCCAGGGGCGCACCCTTGGGGCCACTGTGGAGGCCAAGAACGTCGCCCTGCTGGGAGCGGCCGGCGGCATCGGACAGCCCCTGGCCCTCCTGCTCAAGCTGAACCCCCAGATCACCGAGCTGCGTCTTTACGATATTGCCAATGTCAAGGGAGTGGCGGCGGACCTTTCCCACATCAACACCAGCGTCAAGGTGGTGACCATGGGGTGGCAGAGCGGGGTCTACTTGCTCGTGGCAGGCCCTAGCCGCATGCACAGGCAACCCTCATTCTGCAAGATGTGACCCACATGTCTGCCTTCTCCACCCTCCCTCCCAAACATTGGGGCCTGGCATTGGCATACACACTCTCATCACAGCCTCCCCTCCACCCCCCCTTCCCCTCCACCCCGCCCCCCTCACGCGCTATAGGTGTCTGGTCACACGGGCCCTGACGAGCTGGGCGCTGCCCTGACCGGCGCGGACCTGGTCATCATCCCCGCCGGCGTGCCACGCAAGCCCGGCATGACCCGCGACGACCTGTTCAACATCAATGCCGGCATCGTCAAGACGCTGGCGACGGGCGTGGCCCAGCACGCCCCTGGCGCCATCCTGAACATCATCTCCAACCCGGTGAACTCCACCGTGCCCATCGCGGCCGAGACGCTGAAGGCCGCCGGCGTGTACGACAAGCGCAAGGTGCTGGGCGTGACCACGCTGGATGTGGTCCGCGCGGAGACCTTTGTCGCGGAGGCCAAGGGCCTGGACGTCGTTGACGTCCAGGTGCCCGTCATCGGTGGGCACGCCGGCGAGACCATCCTGCCCCTGCTGTCCCAGGTGCTGTGAGGGGAGGGGAAGGGGGGTGGTTGTGAGTGGGAGCGTCGGGCAAGGACAGCGGCACCTGGGGCCTCATGACCGTCACAGGATGGTGGGCTTGGCCAGGTTGATTGGCGTGTCAGAGCAGCGCGCCGCCACCCTGTACATTCATGAGTGAATCTCGCCCTGCTCGGTCTGCGGACGCTCACCAGCCCAGCACCACTGCTCCGCAGGCCACCCCCTCTGTCGCGTTCTCGAAGGCGGAGGCGGCAGCCCTCACGCAGCGGATACAGAATGCGGGCACCGAGGTGGTGGAGGCCAAGGCTGGAGCCGGGTCAGCCACCCTTTCCATGGTGAGTGAAAGGGTGGAGATGGGCGTGGTTGAGTTTCAGCTGCGCTGGAGTAATGCCGTACCGGGGAGTGCCGCCGGGACAGCAGGCTGTGTGGAGTAGGGTGAGAGTATCTGTGCTTTTCTACGTGATGCCCAGAGCTCCCCTCCAACGTGCACCAGGCATATGCCGCTGCACGCTTTGCGGAGTCTGTGCTGCTGGCGCTGAACGGCGAAAAGGATGTTGTTGAGTGCACATTTGTGGAGTCTGACGTCCACCCTGACTTCAAGTTTTTTGCCAGCAAGGTGAGGGATGGTGCAGCTGTGGGCAACAGTTGTTTGTGAGCATCTCTTGCCAGGGGCAATGCCAGGTGCCTACCCCTCTTTAATGCATGCCATGGGTGCCGAAAGGGTGCAGCACCACTCTGAGGCTTCCTTTGGTCATGTGGTGAGGAAGATATGGTCATCCTCAACTGCCCTACTCGAATGTTCCAGGTCGTGCTGGGCCCCAATGGCGTCGAGGACTTCCTGCCGCTCGGCGAGCTCTCACCTGCTGAGCAGGCCGGTCTGGACGGCATGAACGAGCTGCTGACCAAGAACATCAAGACTGGCATCGAGTTTGCGAACAAGGCTTGATTGTCTGCCAGGACGTCGTGCCCTGGGGTCGCCTGCTCTGATTAAAAGAGGGGTAGGCTAACAACACGCGCCGGGATGCATGATCGGGAAGCCCCCTGCGACCCCGGGTCACAGGAGGCATTTGAATCATGGAGCGGTACCCATTCCTTCATTAGATCCCACCACAAAGCAACAAAATATAGCGCAAAGCTAGCATTGTAAACATATTGCCCGCCGAGGTGGTCAAGGCAAAAGAGGCACCGTTATCGTTGGGCGTGAGTAACATCCCGCTGTGAGGCCAAGTGCAGTGCATGTCTTCATTCTGCTTCGGAAGCAACCATTCATGCTCCCAGTCTTCATGAAGGCCTCTAATAATCATTACAGACTCACGCAGGCGGGGAACCGGGCACAAGGGCGGCATGTTTTATTCGCAGCATCTCCTCGGCACCAAGTCCGCCCTCGGAGCAGTGTGGTGAGGAGCGGCCGAAGAGCGGAGTGGGGGTGTGAGCTTTTGCGAGAAGCCTTGATTTTTGCAAAATTTATACTTGAACCACTCGCTGCCGCTCCTCCTTGCCACAGGATCGCGGCTCATGGCAAGAAATTGAACAAGGGCAAGGTGCTGCAGGTCCATGTTGGCGAGACATGGTACGTGGTGTGGGCATCGACTCGTGCAATGCATCGTCGATTCCAATGCGTTCTTCGCAAGACTACGACCCCCATGACGCCGCAAGCTTCTATACCCATCCGCAGCGAGGTGCTCATGAATCCCGAGGTGCCCCAGGCCCTGCGCCTGCAAGCCGTCCTTGCCGGGGGTGTGGTGGTCATTCAGCACCGGCAAGTGACCTACCTCCTGGATGACTGCAATGACGCTCTGGTGAGTCTCTCAAAAAATTGGAGGACCGAATGAATCGTGGGGAATTTACATACGCATCCTTGCCGCTGTGTTCCATCACAATCGCCTAAGTCACTACTGTGTGGACCTCAACAAAAGATAAGATCAGCCACTTGCTCTTTCTCCAGCGGCGACTGAGAGGGTTGGGGCGCGAGGAGACTCCCACAAGTGCGCATCAATCTACTGGAAAGCGCTTGGCAAGGTGAGATGCATTGCAGGGCCCAGGATCTGTCTCAAGGGATAGTGAGGAGATGCACCTACCCATACTCATCACCATTGACTCCTCTTTCTTTTCCAGGATTGAGGCCATCACTTTGACAGCCCTGGATCAGGATGCAATGGGCCTAAGTTCAGCCCTGCCAATGGAGCAAGCCGTTTTCCGTAAGCTGGACTATGGACAGGTAAGGAGATGGCCTCTGGGTGAGGAAGAATGTGACAAAAGCAGGGACCGCCTGTACCGTCAAGGAGGGTCTGCGAGACATGCATGTCCTCCTGGTACCCTGGACATGTCCCCTTTCATCCCAATCCCCGCATTCTGATCCCACCTCCATTTGAACCCATTTCCTCCCCCAGCCTGATGATGACTACTTCCTCATGCCCGCCGTCCCTACGGAGTCAGAGCACCTCCGCAGCGCCCATTCAGCCCGGCTCGAGGCCAAGGTCTCGACACTGGACAGTCCTGACCTCGGCATGCAGGGCGGTCGCCGCCCACATGGCCTCCTGCTGGAGGAGGAGAGTCCCGACGCTTGGTGAGCAGGGGCTTGCAGCCGTCGTGCGTCTGCTTCGGAGCACTTCACTGCAGTGCCGACATTTGTACATGCCAGGCACCTGTGCAGCACACTGTCAAATCCGGGGCAGGATGCCAGTCCTCTCCCATGACTCTATGCCTGTGCTGCGGCTGACACATGCATATCTCACTCTCACAAATAACCTCACCCTGTGCAGCCAGTCTCAGCCAGAGATGTTTGAGGTCCCTGACGTGCAGATGCCCGACTTTCCCGGGCTGGACTGGCAGGAGTACGGCGGGGAGGCTTGTGTGGACCCAACGCCCGAGAACGCTCCACAGGTGGGCCCCGCCAAGGGCATGCTCGCCCAAGGAAAGCAGCGGAGAGTGCGGAAGAGGGCTGCGACTGTGGACAATCCATGTGACATCCAGATCTCAGTGCAGGTATGCAGGCCATTTAGGTTCCTGTCTCAGGTCCTATAGATGGCAGGGATTGTTGGGAAGTCTCTCCTAACGGCAGCAGTCATTTTATTGACTGCTCTGCAAGGTGCTTACAATGTCTGCCCCGTGACCATGCCTGTCTTCAAGGTGTGCACCCCTCATTGAGCCACTCCTCCTAGAGACATTGCAGGAGTATCGGGAGTGGATGGCCGATGTGGGCGACACTCTCGCGCCCCGCACTCTTTTTGAGAGGGAACAGGGCAACCCACTGACCGTCAAGTCCCTGGAGGCTCCCAAAGGTGAGGCATAGCGGTGGGAACAGCTCAGACAAGGCAGGCTGGATGTGCCTTCAGCTCAAACCCAACATCCACCCCCCCCGCACAGGCCTGGAGGCCACCTTCCAGCACGCTCTGGACCCCTCATCCTTGCCTGGGGTGGTGCTGCATGGCACCAGCTGGGTCGTCACCCCTTCCCCGGGCAGGAAGTCTGTGCCCCAGGACGAGGCTGTCATGGAGGCAGGGCCTGAGCAGCATGACCTGGCACAGGAGTATGGACGTGGAGGTGAGCAGCGCGGGAGCTACTGTTCTTGACATCCCCCGCCCTGCACCTGGATTGGTAGGACAGGGAATCAACGGAACCTCAAAGCAACATCGTGACAGAAGGGCCTTTTCAATTTCACAGATGGCTGGATGCCCGCTTTGGGAGACAAAGCCCCTCCGCTTGGCGGTCCAGAGCCAGAATATGATGCTGAGCTGCTGGCAGGCCCACGCAGTTCGTTACTGAAACGTGTGCTGAGCAGCAGCCCCGGCAGCGACATCGAGACTGAGAGGTGCGGGTGGGCTTCCCACAGCGGGTGCTGCTGTGTCTACTCGGAGGACAGACACCAAGGTTTAAGGATGTGCTTGAACTTTCTCTGAAGATGTAAGGTGGACTCTGGTCTTCCAAGTGGGCTGCAGTGCTCCTGCACACATCCCTGTGCCCACACAGTGGTCAAGACCACTCTTGCTACAATCCTCACACCCACGCCCCCTTGAATATCCTTCACATAAGCACAGGCTGCGCGCAGCACTGAGCGCAAGCCCCGGCAGCGCCTACCAGACAGCCATGCTCCTGGGCCAGGTGAGCTGAAGGCGAAAAGGATCTCCTTAGGTGATGCTGCTTCTGTCAGGCAGATTGGCAGACAAAATAGATGGCAGATGGCTCACTCCCTCTGGTCTCTCTCTCCCGCAGAATATGTACACTCCAGCTTCCATGGCAAAGCGTCAGCGCCTGTCTGGTCTGCGGCCCGAGAGCAATGGAACGCTGATCTCGGAAGGGTGAGGTGCTTGATAGGGAAAGTATACGTCAGCGGGTTGATGGTGGGGGCGTGCATTTTCCAGAGGCCACAAGGTCACCTGGAGTTCGCCAGAATTCGGTCCAGAACCATGATTCGTCCAAGCACTACAGACATGAGAATTACCTTGTGCATAGATAAAGCAACTCACCACCACGTCTGCACCCATTTCTTCTCCAGGTCCTCTGGTACAGCACCTGGTGGGCCAGTGGACGATGCCGTGTTTGCAGGTCCGTACCAGGGTTTGACAGTGATTGATTGGATGTCTCTGCAATCACTGCTGCTCCCTCTATGTGTCCTTTGCCACACGGTGTTTCATGAGGTCCTGTCGAGTCCACTCCGCAGGTGACCTTGCCTCCATGCTGCCCGCGGTGGAGGAAGAGGAGGAGGGTATTCACACAGCCGCATCCTCCAGCCAGGTGGAGGCTGGCTCTGGTCCTTGGGAGAGCAGGCTGCTGCAGATCTTGGTGCAGCCAAATGACCTGAAGTAGGAAGGTGATGCAACACTCCCCATCTCCCTTTCAGGGAGGAAGGTGGACCATGGCAAACCTCACCCAGTTCAGCCTGCTGGAGGAGAGTGCGGCCGGCACACAGAAACCCGGTTGGAATAGGTCACCCAGCGATACACTGAATCCTGCTTCAGCCGCCCTCCTAGGGTAGGTGGACTTGGCAAGGTGGGGCGTGAATGTGCGGCTTTTGAGGGAGTGCCGGAGCAATCTCTGAAGCAGAAGCTTATGCAGCTTGACACACCAAGATCTCCCTCCCTTATCATGCAGGGTACTTGAAAACCAGTTTCATGACAGGCAGACTGGTGTGCTCTCATTCCAGGCCTTATCTGGCAGACTGAACCGCCGGGAAGCGGCCAAGCTATTTGCTCAGCTTCTGGGTGAGTGGTCTGGAAGATGCTTGCCCTGCTCAACTGTACGTACGGGCCGACTGCGGCCACAACCTTCGTCATGCACTTGCATTCTCACCTTGAACCGCCCCACCTCCTCCCCTCTTTGTAGTGATCCACACAAAGCAGTTCGTGAGGGCGGAGCAGACCGCTCCTTACCAAGACATCATGATTCGTCCAGGGAGATGCCTCCTTGCATCAGGGTGACTGAATTCCACATATCCATTGGAGACTCAAATTCCCACCGAACTTGGACCTTGTATGCGCAATCCCCCACGTGAGCGCGGCGGCGTTAACCCCCACAGACAGCACATGCGTGAAGGTTTCCCTTTTCTGCAAGCCATATCGTGCATTCCAGGACTCCTGCTCTTTTCCCGTGCCTACCCACCGGCGACTGCATCGCTCTCAATGTCTTCTGGCCCCTAGCGGCACCGTCCAGCCCCAACCCCCGTCCAGTCCTTCATGTTTGGCGTGACGCCCTTCCAGATCCCAAGCCCGTGTCTGTATAAGAAGGACAAATGCAGAACTTCATGGGGCTCCCATGCAGCAGCTGAGACCTCACCCCGAGAAGGTGGAGCAAGGCGATTGTAGCAGGCTTGCACCTGCTTCACCGTCCCATCGTCCCTGGTTCGCTGGCTCGGCCTGGGGAGATCCGCTCACTTAGAGCCTCACAGCTAGAAAGTGAGCACCGTACGCAGGCTCTTGCCGGAGTGGAGCAGGTCAAAGGCCTCGTTGATCTTGTCAAAGTCGAAGGCGTGGGTGACGTACTTGTCCAGCTTGGTCTCACCCTTGAGGTACAGCTCGACAAGCCCAGGGACCTACGGGTAGGGTGTGTTGCGGATTTCGGCATGTTCCGGCACAAACTTTTGCATGGAAAAGTACTAGGCTGAGTCTACTCCCCACAGCAGCAAAAGCAGGTCCTCAGCCGCCCTCACCTGCTCCCGCGACTTGTACCCTCCAAAGGCGGTGCCCTTCCATTGCCGCCCGGTGACCAGCTGGAAAGGGCGGGTGTGCAACTCCTGGCCGGCGGCTGCCACGCCGATGACGACGGACTGGCCCCAGCCGCGATGGGCCGCCTCCAGCGCCGCCTTCATCACCTCCACGTGCCCGATGCACTCGAAGGTCGCGTCGTACCCCCAGCCATCGGGGGAGCTCTCGATCAGGACCTGCTGGATGGGCTTGTCATGGTCCTTGGGGTTGATGCACTTTGTCGCTCCCCACTCCTTGGCGAGCTTGAACTTGTCTGCGGCAGGCGGATGACGAGGAGAGCGAGGAGGTCGTACCATCACAGCGCCGGGGTCACGAAAGCCGGTGCATGGGTCACCAGCGATGACCAGCGGTGTGGTCCTGTTCGCACATGCATGCGGCCTGGCGCGAGCCGGCCCAGAATTCACGCCCACCATCCTCACCGACATCCCACCCCACCCCTCAGCTGCCACCCATCGCACAGAGGGATACGCTGGCGGACCCCCACCCCCCGCACCCACCCGGGTTCGTGTCGATGGCCACGATCTCCGTGGCACCAGCGCGCTGCGCGGCCTCGATGACGGCCAGACCCACGGAGCCCAAGCCAAACACCGCGACAGACTGGCCGGGCTGGACCTCGGCGGTGTTGTACACCGCCCCCCACCCGGTGGCCACACCGCATCCGAGCAGGCAAACCTTCTCCAGGGGCGCCTCGGGGTTGATCTTGGCCACCGACACTTCGTGCACCACAGTGTACTCTGGAGTGGGGGTCCGGGAGTGAGAGGTGTGTGTGAGGGGGCCCCGCCAGCATCGCCTCGCGGAGAATGTGAACAATTCTCGCTTGCTGCATGCGGTCTGCCCAGGAAGATGTGCTGGCAGGCTTCCGGGGGCGTTGCCTTCCCCCACCTGAGAAAGTGGAGGTGCCCATGAAGTGGTAGATGTCCCTTCCCCTGCAGTGGAACCTGGTCTTCCCATCTGCCTTCATCACACCCTTCCCGGTGTACTGGCGGACGGCTGTGCACAGATTGGACTTGGGGTGCTTGCAGAAGATGCAGCTGCCACAGTTGGCTTGGTAGCAGGGGATGACCGAATCGCCTGTGCAAGGTCAGGGCCATACTTTTGGCAGTTGGTCAAAAGGTGGATGCCTAGTACCCCGCATCCAAGCCCTGAGGTCAGTCCATGCCTCTTCAGCAGCTGCAGGCCCCGCAGCCCCACACACACCTACGGCGAGGGAGGTCACACCCTCTCCCACACTCTCCACGATGCCGGCAGCTTCGTGTCCCAGGATGCAAGGGAATAGACCCTCTGGGTCATGACCATCCAGGGTGTAGGAGTCGGTGTGGCAGAGAGCGGTGGCCATGATGCGGATCCGGACCTCGCCTGCCTGGGGAGGGTCCACGCTCACGGTGGCCACCTCCAGGGGCTGCTTCGCATCCCACGCGATGGCGGCCTTGCATTCAATCACCTTGCCGACTGTTGATTCCTGTGGCGATGCAGGTACGAGGGTAAGAATCCGGAAGTCTGCGTACCGGGTTCTTCCCAGCGCTCGGTCCGAAACATCCACTACCCGGAGAACTCACCACCATTGCCTCGACGCACTATGAGCGACCACAGATGCAGTAAGTCTCTGGGAAATTTATATTTACTGCACTCGGCGAAGGCCACACCAGTTCATTGCATCGTTTTGGAGTTTGTCCTCGTCCTTCATGTTTGATGACGTAATCAAGTGAATGCACACTGCACCACTTGGCAGACACCAGGAAGCACCTCAGCACCTTGCTCTTGAGGTTCGCGGGAGTAACAGTTGATGAATCTTTGGGTTTACCGTCACCCTTAGTGAAGCATGGTGCCCGTCTTCGGATCAGCACCCATGTGCATGGGCGATGACAGTAACTTGTAGACCGCCAGGTAACTACTGCGTTGGCTTGAGCTCAGAACACATGGACAGAACGCTAAAAATGCACATAGACGACCAATTGGCCAAATTCTTGAGAAGAAGTGCTGTCTTCCAGGTTAATGCTGTGAAAATACTGCAGCTCATTCAGATTCCTCGGAATGACATGTAGCTGGACTTTTTTGGAGGAATCGAATGATATATTTAGGCCTGGACAAACCCTCTAGGGCGTACGTTGCTTGGGGATGGAAGTCAGGCTCCCCTGAGATCAACGTGTGGAGCTGTGCGCCTGTACAGCTGTCCATATCCTCTTGGCTGTATATCTCTGTCCTTGACAATGCACGTTAATCCAGAGGTCAATTCACAGACTATACTAGTATTACGAGCTGCTTGCAAGCGAGATTGAGCGTAGCATGCCTTAGATGACAGCATGGAGATGTTATATTTTTGCATTACAAGAGGCGTTGCAATACTTTGAAATACTAGCAAGGTATGAGAATGAATCGCAGAGCAGTGTCGTATCACGTCGCACTGGATCACTTCTCTTACTTAATGTCTCCTGATTGACCTTGGTATTTTGGACGGATCCCAGCTCTATGACGTCCCACAGCTTTTGGTGGGCCCCCGCCCCTGCTTCCCCTTCCCCCCTTCCCCCCACCCCCACCCCACGGTTCGCCATTTGAGGCAATCAACTGCGCCAGAGATTATCCAGCTCTCGAAAATAAGCTATTTGCAACCGGCGCAAGCCCGGTAGGGGAACAAGGGTATTCCCGTGCATTGCAATCAATTGCTGACGGGTCACGCCCACCCCCCCCACGTAGGATGTTTTCCCAGAACCCTGCTGTCACGTTTCGCAGCCCCGCAGCCATCGTTGCCTGGGATCCCAGTTCTTTCAGACCGAAAAACAAAGTGTATATTTATACTCACATCAAGCATAGCCAGGAGGCTGACTTCGGCTCCATCCAAGGCCGGAACACGCAACCCTAGTCCGCTCGGGGCGGACCGCCCCCCGCAGCATCATGCAGCAAGCGCGACTACAGGGCTGTCGCCTGCAGTCGGGCTCGCCATGCATGCCCAATGCGCAGGGTGTGGCACCCCTGCGCACCTTCACAGGGTTCCGCTCGGGTTCGGTTAGTCAGAGGCACGGTCGGGCGATCCCCACCCTGCGCGTCACCCCCAGCAGGGTCGGTCGCGGCGGAGCACTCCAGGTGGGTCTGGATGGGGTTGATTTTTCTGAATTCACAGCGCAAGGGGCCCGAAACGTGACCGAACTCCCCTCATCGCCGCCGCCGTCAACCACCGTGTGCCCTCCCCCTCGTCCCCGCAGGTGGTCTCCAAGCACAGCGCCATCCCCGAGGCCCAGGGCCTGTTCGACCCCGCCAACGACCGGGATGCCTGCGGCGTGGGCTTCGTGGCCGAGCTGTCCAAGAAGCCCTCCCGTGCCACGGTGGAGGACGCGCTGGAGATGCTGGTGCGCATGACCCACCGCGGCGCCTGCGGCTGCGAGGAGAACACGGGCGACGGCGCGGGCATCCTGGTGGCCATTCCCCACCCCTTCTTCGCCGAGGTGATGGCCGACGAGGCCTGCTTCGACCTCCCCCCGCCCGGCGACTACGGCATCGGCCAGGTGTTCCTGCCCCGCGACATCGAGGAGGCCAAGGCCATCCGCGACATCATCGGCAACGTGGCGGAGCGCCTGGGCAACCACGTGCTGGGCTGGCGCCGCGTCCCCACCGACCCCGCCGGCCTGGGCCCCTCCGCGCTGTCCACCGAGCCGGTGGTGGAGCAGTTTGTGGTGTCTCGCGCGGCGCCCGGCGCGGGCCGCCGCTCGCGCGGCATCGAGCAGCAGATGTACCTCCTGCGCAAGCTGATCGAGTCCAAGCTGCGCCTGCAGCACCTGGGCGACGACGACGTGTACATCTGCTCACTGTCTTCGCGCACCATCGTGTACAAGGGGCAGCTGACGCCGGCCCAGGTTCCCGGCTACTACCGTGACCTGCAGGACCCGCGCTTCACCTCCTACATGGCGCTGGTGCACTCGCGCTTCTCCACCAACACCTTCCCCTCCTGGCACCGCGCGCAGCCCATGCGCATGCTGGGCCACAATGGCGAGATCAACACGCTGCGCGGGAACGTTAACTGGATGCGCGCGCGGCAGGGCGTCATGCGCTGCGAGGCGCTGGGCCTGCCCGAGCGCACGCTGCAGAAGCTGCTGCCGGTGGTGCCGCCGGGGCAGTCCGACTCCGGCTCCTTCGACGCTGTGCTGGAGCTGCTGGTGCGGTCGGGGCGCGACCTGCCCGAGGCCATGCTCATGATGGTGCCCGAGGCCTGGCAGAACGACGCGCTGATGAGCGAGGAGAAGAAGGACTTTTACCGCTTCCACTCGGCCATCATGGAGCCGTGGGACGGCCCCGCGCTCCTCTCCTTCACCGACGGGCGCTACATCGGGGCCACCCTTGACCGCAACGGGCTGCGCCCGGGGCGCTACTACATCACCAAGAGCGGCCGCGTCATCATGGCCTCCGAGGTGGGCACCGTGGACGTGGACCCCACGGACGTCGCGAAGAAGGGGCGCCTCATGCCGGGCAACATCTTCCTGGTCGACTTTGACCGCCACTGCGTCGTGGACGACGAGGCGGTGAGCTGGAGGGGGGGGGGTGGTTTGGGTTTGGGAGGAAGCATGCTGAGTAGCTACCATGATGACATGGTTGCATGCTGAGTGGGGTCAGCTCCGCAATGTCTGCGCAATGTGCCATGACGGCCCCTCGTGCATGCCATGGATCTTTTGTGAGCAGCATGTATTTAAGTCTATCGATAGCTCACGACTGCGCCCACCGACCCTCCTCTTGGCCGATGGGTTGCCATCCTGAAGTGCCTGACGGCACCCTCCTCTCCTTCCCACTCCCAACCTGCAGATGAAGCACAGGTACGCCTCTGCGCGCCCCTACGGCAAGTGGCTGGAGGATGAGGTGGTCACCCTGGACCGCATCGTGGAGTCGGTGGACCCAGCGGCGCTGGAGCTGCCGGCCGTGAAGGGTATGGATGGCGACGACGGCGAGGTGCCCTCCGACGGTGTCTCCGGCATCCACCGCCTGCTTAAGCCCCTCACAGCCTTTGGCTATACCGTGAGTCGGGAGCCGCTCAGCCCTCTTGTGCCCCTTGCACCTCGCTGGCAGGCCAAGGAATGGGGCCAGAACAGTGCTTGCGTGTTTTCCGGGGTGGGCGTTCCCACTCCTTGGCACCCAGTCCTCGCCTAAGCGGCGAGAATTCTGCGCTTGCCCGCCACTTGAGTTGAGCTCAGATTTCCTGTGTTCCTCTCATCCCCCTTCCTCCCCAGGTCGAGACGATGGAGGTGCTGCTGCTGCCCATGGCCAAGTCTGGGGCGGAGCCGCTGGGCTCCATGGGCAACGACTCGCCCCTGGCCGCCATCAGCCAGCGCCCCAAGCTGCTGTCCGAGTACTTCAAGCAGCTGTTCGCCCAGGTGACCAACCCGGCGATCGACCCGCTGCGCGAGCGCCTCGTCACCTCCACCCGGGCCATGATCGGGCCGGAGGGCGACCTGACGGAGACCGGGCAGTCCCAGGCCCACCGCCTGGAGCTGGAGCAGCCGCTGCTGCGGCCCTCGGAGATGCAGGCCATGAAGCACATGACCTACAGCGGCTGGGAGACGCGGCTGGTGGACGCCACCTGGCCTGTCGCCGAGGGGCCAGGTGGCCTGGAGGCCGCCCTGGCGCGCATCTGCAGCGAGGCCGCCGCCGCCATTGAGGCCGGCGTCGACTTCATCGTGCTGTCCGACCGTGCTGCGGGTGAGTGCGTATTGGTTGTGCTGGGTGATTGGGAGGTGCCCTGACCAGGTTTGCAGGTGCGGGCCGTTTGCACCTCCTTGGGGTGGCGCGCCATCCTCCCCCAGATCCTGTCGAGTTGGCTTCATGTATGCAAGGGTGACCCCCTCAAACCCCTGCCTACTTCCGGAACTCACCCCCTCGCCTTGGCACGCCACGCAGACGCGAGCCGGTGCGGTATACCCTCCATCATGGCCACGGGCCGGGTGCACCAGCACCTGGTGGGCCTGCAGAAGCGCTCGCGCGTCGGCCTGCTGGTGGAGGCGGCCGACGTGCGCGAGGTGCACCAGTTCTGCCTGCTGATCGGGTACGGCGCGGACGCGGTGTCGCCCTACCTCGCGCTGGAGGCGGTGCTGGCGCTGCAGGCCGACGGCCGCGTGCCGGCCGGCCTGTCCCGCGCGGAGCTGGAGGACGCCTACTTCCGCGCGGTGGGCGACGGCATCCTCAAGGTCATGGCCAAGATGGGGATCAGCACTGTGGCCTCCTACAAGGGCTCCCAGATCTTCGAGGCGGTGGGCCTGGATGCGGAGGTGGTGGACGCCTGCTTCACGGGCACCGCCTCGCGCATCGGCGGCATGAGCCTGGCCGACCTGGCCGCGGACCTGCTGGCGCTGCACGCCGCGGCGTACGTGCCCCCCGCCGCGGCAGCCATGCTGCCCGACCCGGGCGACTACCACTTCCGGTCGACGATGGGTCACGAGCTGCACCTGAACGACCCCATCGCCATGGCCAAGCTACAGGAGGCGGCGCGCACGGGGTCGCGCGGCGCGTACGCCGAGTACTCGCGCCTGACCCAGGAGCTGAACCGCAGCGTGAACCTGCGCGGCATGCTGCGCTTCCGGCGCGGCGCGGCGCCGGTGGCGCTGGAGGAGGTGGAGCCCGCGGCGGCCATCGTGCGGCGCTTCGTGACGGGGGCCATGAGCTACGGCTCCATCTCGCTGGAGGCGCACACCGCGCTGGCCATCGCCATGAACTCGCTTGGCGGCAAGTCCAACACGGGGGAGGGCGGGGAGAACCCGCGACGCCTGGTGCCCAACGCCGACGGCAGCGGGAACCCCATGCGGTCCTCCATCAAGCAGATCGCGTCGGGGCGGTTTGGCGTCACCGCGCACTACCTGACCAACGCCGACGAGCTGCAGATCAAGATCAGCCAGGGCGCCAAGCCCGGCGAGGGCGGCGAGCTGCCGGGGGGCAAGGTCAAGGGCGACATCGCGCGCACGCGCAACTCCACGCCCGGCGTGGGCCTCATCTCGCCGCCCCCCCACCACGACATTTACTCCATCGAGGACCTGGCCCAGCTCATCTACGACCTCAAGTCCGCCAACCCCTCGGCCCGCGTCTCGGTCAAGCTGGTGTCCGAGAACGGGGTGGGCGTGGTGGCCTCCGGCGTGGTCAAGGGCCACGCCGACCACGTGCTCATCTCGGGGCATGACGGCGGCACCGGCGCGGCCAAGTGGACCTCCATCAAGTCCGCGGGCCTGCCCTGGGAGCTGGGCCTGGCCGAGACGCACCAGACCCTGGTGGCCAACGGCCTGCGCGGGCGCACCACCCTTCAGGCCGACGGCCAGATGAAGACGGGGCGCGACATCGTCGTGGCCGCGCTCCTGGGCGCGGAGGAGTTTGGGTTCGCCACCGCCCCCCTCATCGCGCTGGGGTGCATCATGATGCGCAAGTGCCACACCAACACCTGCCCCGTGGGCATCGCTACGCAGGACCCTGTCCTGCGCGCCAAGTTCGCGGGCCAGCCCGAGCACGTCATCAACTTCCTGTTCATGGTGGCAGAGGAGGCACGCACCTACATGGCCGACATGGGCTTCAGGAGCGTGCAGGAGATGGTGGGCCGCGCCGACATGCTGGAGGTGGACCCCGAGGTGGTGGCCGCCAACCCCAAGCTTGCCAACATCGACCTGTCCCGCCTGCTGCTCCCCGCCGCCAGCCTGCGCCCCGGCGCGGCCCAGACCTGCAGCGAGAAGCAGGACCACGGGCTGGAGGCGGGGCTGGACGCGGAACTGATCCCGCTGTGCTCCGCCGCGCTGCGCCCGCGGCGCGACCAGGCACGGCACGTCTTCCTGGAGGCAGCGGTTTGCAACACGCACCGCGCCACGGGCACCACTCTGTCGCATGAGGTGACCAAGCGCTACGGCGCGGAGGGCCTGCCGGAGGGCACCATCCACCTGGCCCTGTCCGGGCACGGCGGGCAGAGCCTGGGCGCGTGGCTCTGCCCCGGCATCACGCTGGAGCTGGAGGGCGACTCCAACGACTACGTGGGCAAGGGCCTGTCCGGCGGCATCATTGCCGTCTACCCGCCCGCCGTCTCCGACTTCGAGCCGGGGGAGAACATCATCGTGGGCAACGTCTGCCTCTACGGCGCCGTCTCCGGCGAGGCCTACTTCGCGGGCATGGCTGCGGAGCGCTTCTGCGTGCGCAACTCCGGCGCACGCGCCGTGGTGGAGGGTGTGGGCGACCACGGCTGCGAGTACATGACGGGCGGCACCGTGGTGGTCCTGGGCGGCACGGGCAAGAACTTTGGCGCGGGGATGTCGGGCGGCGTGGCCTTCGTGTACGACCCCGAGGCGCGCCTGCAGGCGCGCTGCAACCCGGATGTCGCCGGCGACCTGTTCCCCGTGGAGGACGAGGAGGACGTGGCCGCGCTGCGCAGCCTGATCCAGCGGCATGTGCGCTTCACGCGATCCGCGAAGGGCCGAGCGCTGCTGGCCGACTGGGACGCGGCGGTGCAGGGCTTCGTCAAAGTGTTCCCGCCGGACTACCGCCGCGCGCTGGCCGAGCAGGCCAAGCTGGCCGCAGCCCAGCGCGGGCAGGAGGAGGTGCTGGCCGGCGCCAGCACCGACGACGCGTTTGAGAGCCTGAAGCGCATGGCGCTGGAGGTGGTGCGCCGCGGCGCGCAGGTCGTGGACACCACGGCGGCGCCGGTGCCGGCGCGCGCGCCTGCCCCGGCCGGCGCCGCCGCCGCGGAGGCCGAGCTGGAGTACAAGCGCCTGCTGCGCGATGCGGCGGAGGGCGTGCCCGTCGGCGGCCGCCCAGCGCTGTGGGAGGCGGGGCGCCCGACGGTCGTCGACGGCCTGGCCGCAGTCAAGAGCGGCGGGTTCAAGGCCTACGAGCGCGCGCCGCTGCCCTTCCGCGACGTGCAGGAGCGCATGGCTGACTGGGGGGAGGTGCACGCGCACCTGCCCGCCGAGCAGCACGCGCAGCTGCTCAACACGCAGTCGGCGCGGTGCATGGACTGCGGCACGCCCTACTGCCTCAACCGCACCACCGGCTGCCCCCTGGGCAATCTCATCCCCGAGTGGAACGCGCTGGTCTGGCAGGGGCGGTGGCGTGAGGCACTGGACAGGCTGCTGGAGACCAACAACTTCCCGGAGTTCACGGGCAGGGTGTGCCCCGCGCCGTGCGAGGGGTCCTGCGTCCTGGGCATCAACCAGAACCCGGTCACCATCAAGACCATGGAGGTCTCCATCATCGACAAGGTGGGTGCTTCTAGCCACGCTCTGGGCCTGGCTGGAAAAGGAGGCGGGTGTAGGGGGGGGGGCAGATCTGAACACTGGCTGCCCGAAGGGGCTGGGGCCGGGCAGAACAGGTTATGACCCGGAGTCAAAATGGTGTTGGGGGGGGGGCCGAACACACCACGCACTGCTTGCCAAAGCTATGTCTCGTCAGCAAAGGAGCAAGGGGCCCTTTTGAGCCGGCACGTCGGCCGAGCACCCAGAGCAAACCACTGACACCTCACAACCTCTTCTCCCCCTCCCAATCCAGGCATGGGAGGAGGGCTGGATGGTGCCGCGGCCGCCCGCGGTGCGGACCGGAAAGCGTGTGTCCATCATCGGTGGCGGGCCCGCAGGTCTGGCTGCCGCCGATCAGCTCAACAAGGCAGGGCACACCGTCACCCTGTACGAGCGTGCCGACCGCATCGGCGGGCTCATGATGTATGGCGTGCCCAACATGAAGACCGACAAGGTACTCGTGGGGGATGTGCTTGGTCTAGGGAGCATGGTGTTTCAGCCGGCAGTGCCGTTCATGGTGTCCCAGCTGGACGCCAGTTGCGCTCATACCAGCTTGCGTGCCCCCCTCGGCCAGCCAGCCACCCAGCCAACCCCCCTCACCGGTGCAGGAGGGCATCGTCCAGCGGCGTGTCGACCTGATGGCGGCAGAGGGCGTCCAGTTCGTCACCTCGGCCCACATCGGCCGCGAGGTGGACGTGCGCGACATCCGCGCCTCCTCCGATGCCCTCATCCTGGCTGCGGGGGCCACCAAGCCGCGCGACCTCCCCATCGAGGGCAGGTGAGAGGGCATGGTGGGAGGTGGCATGCTGATGCGTGAGACACCCACCTGCACCTGGCTTTCCCCTCATTCATCCCAGCGTCCTCAATCCAGCCCACCCAACCCCGATATCCTCTTCCCGGCCCGGCCCACCCCCCGCCCACCCCCTCTCCCCATAATGCAGGTCCCTGAAGGGCGTGCACTTTGCCATGGAATTCCTGGCCGCCAATACCAAGTCACTGCTGGACTCTGGCCTGGAGGATGGCAAGGCCATCTCTGCCAAGGGCAAGACGGTAGTGGTCATCGGCGGCGGTGACACGGGCACCGACTGCATTGGAACCAGCGTGCGCCACGGGGCGACCAACGTCATCAACCTGGAGCTGATGCCGCAGCCCCCTGTGACGCGCGCCGCCAGCAACCCCTGGCCCTACTACCCGCGCGTGTTCAAGGTGGACTACGGCCACGCCGAGGCCGCGGCCAAGTACGGCGCCGACCCGCGCGTGTACGAGGTGCTGACCAAGCGCTTCATCGACGACGGCCAGGGCAACCTCAAGGGCCTGGAGATTGTCAGCGTGGAGTGGCAGCCGGCCACCGCGGGCGGACCGCCCAAGTTCGTGGAGGTCCCTGGGAGCAACAGGGTGAGTGTGCTCAATGGGGCTGGATGATCGGTGCTGGGGCGGGCGACATCCTTCAGCAGCGCCAGCTCAGAGTCTGGGGAGAAGGAGGTCGGCGCTGCATTTTGTGATTTGTCAGGGTGTCCAGAAGATTGTGGTGCCAGTCCGTGCATGCAACCCCACAGTTGCACATGCACGTCACTCACGCCCATAGAAATCGGCAGTTCAAATCCTTGCTGACCTCACCTTCCCTTTGCACCCCTGCCCAGATCATCGAGGCTGACATGGTCCTGCTCGCAATGGGTTTCCTGGGGCCAGAGGCCACCCTGGCCGAGGCCCTGGGTGTCGAGACCGATCCCCGCTCCAACTTCAAGGCAGAGTATGGCCAGTTTGCGACATCCATGGATGGAGTGTTTGCAGCTGGCGACTGCCGGCGTGGCCAGTCCCTCGTGGTGGGTGCAGGCGGCAGGGCCAAGGGGCCGAGGGGGGCAGGAGGGTGCAATGAAGCGCTTGAGCGCTTTAATCATCGCTGACCTCATGCAATCATCCCTCCAGGTTTGGGCCATTGCTGAGGGCCGTGGGGCGGCGGCTGCCACGGACAAATTCCTGGCTGGCGTGGAGCCTAGCACAGACGCCAGGCAGGAGGTCGTGGGCGGCATCATCCCATGGAAGGAGTTCAGCCAGAAGGTCATGGGCCAGCAGCTGGTCGCTGTGTGATAGAGTATGCGTTGGCATCTTGGCTGGTCTATGAGCATGAGCTGCCCTTTTTTGTTACCTGACTGCAAACCAGCTGGGAAGAACTAATCAGCACTATACGCATACTTGAAGAATGTTGCTATAGTTGTAATTCCGCACTCACGCCAGCATGGCAAGTCAATTGACTCAGCCTTATAGTAATTGTCAATGAAAGTGTGGAGGCCAGAGACTCGGGGCTCTGACATTGCCTAGCTCCCGGCCTACAAGAACCCCTTCTCCATTGTCAGCGAGCATCTGGTTCACAGGATCTTTTCAAAGTCAGGAAAGGGACCAGCCTACTTGCTTGAAGGAAGCTGTGACAGAGGTTTCACTCCTTTCCAGGCATACATCCCGGCGAGGAGCAGGAGGTCACAAGTGAAGACGAGTGGGAAGGATCTGACAACAAAAGGGATGGCAATGTTGACGAGGGGGATGGCCAGGAAGAGGTAGTTGAGTGCCTCCTTCTCCTTACTGCTGCATTGCCGTGCCCGCAAGGAAGGCACAGTGAAAATCCAGATGGACCACATCCTGCGAGATCATGGTAGAATGAGGTTCAGGAGGACACGATGAGAATTAGAAAGGTCCAACGCTGAAACAGTGGCTGGTCGAACAGATGCTACAAAGCTACAAACTTACCCAATCAATCGTGGGATGTCGGCGTGGTCAGAAGGAAGCAGGACATTGTATGACAAAAGTCCGCCCACCACCAAAGCCGCCCAGGCCTGAACCTCAAAGACTGTGTACAGGATGCTTCCTGTATGGGCAGGAGATGCTTGCGCTTAAACCGTGTTCTGTGTACTCCTGTAAACGTGCACCCTTCAGCCAGGCACTCAAGTCTACCCCCTCAAATTCCCACCCACATCCTCACCCGGTGGAGCAGGATTTGGAGCAGGACCTGATGGCCGAGGAGCAAAGGTCGAGGCTGTCATCTTCGTGAACCTGTCGACCTCTGCCCCTACCTCTTCCAAAGCTCCGCCCTGGTCTGCATGGGGCGTCAGGGGTAAAGGACGCCTCCTCATCCACACATCATCACTAGATTGAAAGGCAGGTGCTGAGGCACGCACGCCGCTGACCTTCACTCTTCACAGTCTCATTATTCTCTGCTTTGCCGTGGCAGATGTGACGTGCGCACTGTTGAGGGGCAGAGAGCAGGACCCTGGCCCTGACTGTTGGCAGCAGCCCTGCCCGTGGGGGTAATGATGTTGGACATCTCGCCAAGCTCATGCAGCTGTACATCATCCTTTTCCAATCCTATTTCTTCAATTTGGGTCTTTTGGCGGATGCTTGCAACCAGGCGAGCCAGTCGACCGTTCTATATCTGATGGGGCTCTGCGATTCGTGCACATCATAGACCCGACATGTGAATTGGATGCGCTCCGTCGCCTCCCGACACAGACACGCCCGAGAAAACTGTTGAAATTCTTCGCAAAAGCGACTCCGAAGGCTCGCAAAGTACGATCCAGCCTGTAATCGCCCAAGAAAGGCTGGCGACAGAAGCTGCCCCACGGGACCATGTCTGTTCAGGACCCCCTGCGCTTTGGGCTCGAAGATGACGAGGTAGGCAGGCTCAAATCCCTAGGTCTGACTCCACGAGGTGCTCGACTCACACCACCACGTCGCCACCACAGGATCAGCTCCAGCAGGATGTTCCTCTTGACGTGGACGAGCCCGATCACACCAGCCCGGTGAGCAAAGTGCTCAATGGAAGAGTGGGAGAACCACTACAAGATCTATGATTTTTAATGCAGCATATTATTTACTATGATGCAGTCAACCACACAAGGAGCTGAAGGTGGTTCCTTCCAGGAGCCTTCAACTTCTGCTGCTGCTGGGGTCACAGAAGGCAATGTGAGGGAGGGGCCCTCAGCCCATTTCATCAGCCCAAGCAGCTACAGTGGGAACTCACGTCAGGGCGCAAGCTCATCAGGCATTCAGGCAGTCCGAGGCCACAGCCTGACCGACACCAATCGGGAGGATCTTGGCCTCTTCGGCACTGCTAGTGAAGAAGTGCTCGGCGTCAAGTCCAAACCCCTGTACACCATCACCGTCTCTGACCCTGTGAAGCGCAGCGAGGTATGAGAGTGCACGATTACCTGCCATGGTAACTGTAGGCGCTGGCACCCAAATCATTCGACCAGCCTCCCATTTCATGTCTCATCACAGGAAGGTATGATCCCAGGCCTGTCTTCCAGCCACTATGATTACCTGATCAGCAGCAGCAGCACAGAGCAGCGCACTCGTGTGGAGGTTCGCCGCAGGTTCAAAGACGTTGTGGTGAGTCCAGCGGAGAATATGGCCTTGCATTGCCGGTCGGTCCGCCACAATATCTGAAAGTGCTTGCCATCCATTCACTTGCAACGGCTGCCCCTTTGCGCTCTCAGGCTCTCGCGACACTGCTGTCCACAAAGTATCGCGGCTATTTTCTCTTCCCTCGGCCCGACAAGAACACACTGGAAGGACAACTGGGGGCCACCGACCTCGTGAAGAGCAGGGTGGCTGACATCACACGGTATCTGAATCATCTGGCCTCCCATTCCATTGTCGGCAGGGGCGAGGTGGGTCGAAAATATGATAATTCTGGCTGGATGGTCGTGGCACCCTAACAGGCCCGGAAAGAAGCAGGCCTCTGAACTGCACTTGATCTGCTCCCACATCGCTCCTTGCCCGTACTGCAGGAGCTGGCTGTCTTTTTGACGGCACCCGGCAACCTCTTGAACTCTCTGGAGTGGCAGGGGCTGTCCCCCCTCCGCAATGGAGGCCTGCTTGAGGGTGTTGCCAGGCTGCCCAGCCAGCTGCTGGGAACACAGCCTACCTTGCCTTCCACCACGGAGGCAACCTTGAATGCAAGGGACACCAACGACCTTTTGAGGAGGTTCCGAGAGATGGGAGAGCGAATGCGCCAAGAGTTTGGCAACAGCGCTCCTCACCTAAGCGAGAAGGAGGCCGATCTACGGGTGAGCGATTTATGTGGGGGAAGGAGGGCGCTGGCTGGAGATATTTATATGAAGCATGTCCATCTTTAAGGTAAGGAAGTGTTGGCCAAAAAGCTCTGTGACACCTTGTGTTGTTCCCTGCAGAATAAAAAGGCAAACATCGAGGCATATCTAGCCAAGCTCTCGCTTGCCTCTCGCAAAGCTGAATACCTCGTCAAGGAGTTTGAAGGGCAGGGAGCAGGTATGGAGTGAGGGCTGGTTGATGCACACAGGCTGCCTGCCCATTCTTACCACCGCCAGCAAGAGATTCAGCTTGACCCGGCCAAGGTGCTCTAGCAAATGCTCTCCCCCTTTTGCAGTGATAGGCGACCTCGGGATGTCTTTGATTAAACTGGCCAACTATGAGGAGGCTGAGGGGACGAGGGCTGGACCCTACACTGACTTTGGAGCAGACGCCAGAGGGATTGCCACCGAGTCAAGGAGGATTGGCACGGTGGGTTCCGGAGTTGCTCACTTCTGAGCTGCACGAAGCAAACATGGACGAGTTTTGGCCAATGCTCACGCATGCTACCACACACTCGTGCAGGCTGCGGTCCGATGTCGGAGATTGGCGCGCTTGGCAGTCTCCCATCTGACGGAAGCACTGGCTCCCCTTCATGATGAGCTGGCGCTGGCACCAGTGAGTCATGCCAATGAAGCAGGGGTCTAGAAAAGCGTAGCAGGCGGCCCTGTCTGCTTAGCCACATGGCATGTTTATCAACACACACCTCTCTTATAATCGCCACAGGCTGCCATTGCTGCCCTCAAGGAACGGGAGGCTGCTCTATTGACGGAGCATCTGATCCAAGAAGACAAGGAGAAGAAACAGCAAGCAGCTGCAGCTCTAGAAGAAGCAGGTGTGATCCATGTGAGACAGCTTGCTGTACAAAGTTCCCTGATAGCCCATATCCCATTTTGACTGACTCTCAATTCCTGCGGTGCCCGCAGGTGCCACGAGGTTCGGAGGAAACCCTTCTAAGGCCAGGAAGTTTGCTCAGCTGGAGAATGAGATTGCGTCTGCGGAAGCTGCAATTGTGGCCGCCCATGCCGAGTATGAGAAGGTCAAATCCCGAAACGAAGAGGTAAGGAGTAATCCCACCAATCCGATCGTACCCTGCTGTGCCAGATCGGGTCATGAACCAAATGTGCCTTACATCGCCGCAGGAGCTGGTGGCATGGCAGGCGGCCAAGTCAGCAGATTACGCGAGGATGTCCACCAGCGTGGCCCTGATCAACACACGCTGCAGTGAGCGTGTCGCTGAGGTGAGAATGTTTACTCAGCGCTGTGCTGACAGGCCTGGGAGTTCGCATGCATGCGACTGCGGCTTGAAAAGGGGAAGGAGCATCACAAGGGCCAGTTGTATACATATTTTGGTCTTGCATAAGAAGCCAACATAACTTACCACTCTCATTGCATGCAGATCTTGCAGGCTGCACTAGACGAAGCACCACAGACGTTGGGATAGGCAAAGTCTGCGGCAATCGGCGAGACTCCTTCATTGTTCTTGCAGATTAAGCTACTCTGCGTAATGGTATTTATAATGGACCCCAGCATCCTGTGTAAAACAGCAACCTTTCGCAATTGTAAGAGGAGGGAGTTTGTATCCTTTAGTAAGTATACATTAAGATCTTTTTTATCTCCATAGGTTGCAACAGAGACAACTCATCTGACAAGTTTTATTCCAAATGCACCGGCTCGCGGGACGTCGCTCTCGAGGCCCCAGAGTGTATTCCTATGACCAGGAATTCACTTCGCAACTCCCCGAATGGCACATCTCCGCTTGAAATTATCTTCCTACGAGCCATATTATCTGAACTTTGAAAAGCTATTCAGTGGGTTAGTATGCCGGTGTCAAGAGCCAGTCCCTCGAGGACATTCACATCGGCAGTTGCAAACCCAACTCCCATCTGCCTTGATATAAAAACACCGCAGTGAGTGCGCGACGAGCAACTTAGATGGCGAGTCCAATCGCATCGCAACGATTACTTGACAGCTAATCACAATCCATCGAGGCCAAGGCCATGCCCTTTTGGACATGAGGACCCAAGTCGTGCAATTTTCGGAAATCACCAACTCACGAAGTCGCCATTCCTGCATGTTGAGAAGTATATTTGAACAAAAATGGGGATGGTCATTCACTTTGTCTGCCTCGTTCCTGGAGGGACTTTTGTGCTGCATGTGCTTAATTCCTGCTGGTGGTGACACTGCCCCGCAAGAAGGTATGGCATTGTCCATGCTTCAACCGGCAGTTGGTGAAGCAGTACTTTTGCTGTCATTATGTCTCAAGATGTGATCATTATCAGATTGCTGCGATATTCTGGAAAGAGGCACTACGCGATTCATGCTTAAGTAAGATATCTCGCACCAGCCGCTGTATCAGGAACAGAATGGACATTTCTCGGATATGCATAGCTCCCCTTATTAGTTACTGGAACTCCGAAGATACCATCACACCATCTGCTATCCAGTTCTGTATACCTTATAGATTACGAATATCCGGATTATATGATGTCAAGCTAGTATCGAATGCCTTGAGAGCACCTGAAAAGGACACCAGCTCATGCTTGGAAGCCCAACTCATCTTTACGTTAGGCACTTGACAAATGGGGGCTGCTTTTTCAGACTGTGCTTTGTAAAGGATTGAGAAACCAACCAAATGTGGTTCGCTAGAAGTGGGGCTTCATGAGCTGTCGGAGGTCAAAGTCTGCTAAGAGTTGTGCGTTGAAATGAGACAGACCGTACAGGACCGTTTCTTACGTCCTGGCTAGGTGCAATGTTGCGAGCTCTGCTGTAATGATTTTGACTTGAAACAAGCATACGCACTCAGCTTCTATAGAAGGCCGCAAGATCCGCACGTGGTGTTTGCTCGCTTCACGATTCAATATTGAACTCTAAAATTTGCGGCGATATTTCAACTAGTTTCTATACATCTGTGCAGTATCTGTGCTTGGAGAACAGGTCTACTCGAACGACACGCAGATTGCGAAGGCGACAGTGGATATTATTCAACTATCTCGTTGTTGTGATGTACAGATGATTCAGTTGATGTGTACTCTCATACTGCATTTCATGGATCGATTCATGCTGGCTTTTACTCGATGACGTTTCCTCGTTTCAGGATTACCGCGGTCCTGTTCAAGGCTGAAAATGGTTTTCAGTGTTGACACGCAATATTAAGTTTGTAATGGGCGGGGATGTACATGCGACAGCTTTCATGATAAGGCTCTGTGCCCAAATAAAGGATGCAATGAAGCGAGATTCCGGCCAGTGCCTCTACGGTTGTCTTCTATATATCGTTTGTACTTCACCATCCCACAATCCTCACTGATCATTCCTTGGCAGTCACATTGCAGTGAGCAGGACGGCTTGAGGAGATTTCGATGACATCACGGTATCCAGGTCTCTACAACCTCAATGAGGAGAACATGTTGTCAAATGCATGTGTGACATGAAAAAGGAGGTGGGGTCTCTTGATTCCACCAAGACCATGCCCGTTCCAAAGTTTTCGGAGTCTTCGAGTGATAATCAGCAACATACTGGATAACAGGTATGCGGGAGCCATCACTAGCGCCTTGCGATGCGTCCCTCTCGACTTCTTGAAGCCTTTCCGCACTTATGCCTGGTCACCGAGAAGACGAGCATGATTTGTGGGTCGACAAGCAACTTTTCTGCCAATTAAACAGCTGCTCCCGCTGAGGGGAGTTCGAGGGTGATCAGACGATCGGAATGAGCTCAGATCTGATCCGGAGCGGCTGCACCCGCTGATAGAAAACGCCGAGTGCAGTTACTCTTGCTTTTGGAAATTCTGCAACACAGATCCTGATGGGTAGTCACACGCTGACAGTGTGGCAGCAGAACGCATTCGATGGCTCCGCTTTATGTGGCATATTGGCACTTGAGGGTTGTTCTGAATTGCGCAACACAACCACTTTGTCTCACCAGCTTCAAAGCAGCAAACGCAAAGTTATACTGCTGTAGAGTTGCAGTACCACCCGGAAATCCCCCCAACTCTTCCTGCCATTCTGCCCAAATGGAAACCAGACTGTCGGTGCCAGCATGATTCTGTAATACAGGTAATGCACCGAGACACTTCGAGAGGCGAATTGCTGAGCATGCTGTCGCAGACGAGTTTGAGATCGGATTGGTGAAGTTACTCGTTCCTGCAGACTTTGCTTACTCGATACGTCTGACTGGCGTCTTGCAATTGCTTTGGTAGTGCCTATCTGTCCCTATGAACTGTACTCAAACAATTAACTTATAGGCGTAAAAGCAGTCAGACTCTGCCGCGACGATTCATTGTAAGCTTCGAGCTTATGAAAGTGTTCTTGTTCGGCATGACATAAATTTCCTATGAGCGCCTCCTGATTGATGATCCTTTAGACTATGTCGACCAAGATCACGTTGTACATAGTTTTGCAAGGACAAATGGGTACGTTGGACAGAGTCTCCATTTTTATGCAGATACCATTTAATACAATCAATTGTGGGTATATGGTGATTGAGGATTACTCTCCAACCTTACAGCACACTGGCCATGCTCTTCCACGAGATCATACTATGGAACAGGATATCTTGATCTGTAGACTCTAGTAAACACAAAAATACGCGCGACTCTCCTCAGAAGCTCAAGCACCAAAGCTTTGATACCTCTGATGATGATTTCGTCCATTCGCTGTCAAATCATACAGCGGAATAAGCGTTACTGGGCAAGGGTGAAGTGCAATGCATGTGCTTCCAAGAGCTCTTCTGCACATTTTGTCTCGTTTGACGGGATTTGGGGGGGGGGATTTTGTATTCCCAGACCTGCTTAAGCTGATCTTCTGCACCACTGCTTACTGACTATACAGGCTACGTGTTTGTGTAGTATCGTCAATGGGTTTGCCTCCTGAACAGGACCTCCTAAAGATACAAAGGATGGTGTGTGATATTCTCCCACCACAGTCCTCATAACATGGATGTACTCCTGGGGTTGTAAGCAGCAGATGGTTTCAGTAACAAGGACTCTCAGCTCTCATTTTCAGTCCGTAGGTAGCCGGAGAACTTGAAGTTATTGATAAGAGGTCCCCTACCATCTCCAGCTCTAATCTCTCGTGCCATGCGTTGGAAGCCCATCAACTCAGCTACAATACATGTCTACATGACAATGGGCTCCAGGCCGAGCCCAGACTTTACCATATGTGTTGGGATACCCTATGTGTTTAGTACAAGATTGGATCCCCGTGCCCCGAATGATGAGTCAATTTGGAAATCGCCTGGGTAGACACACAAAATCGCCCGTCCGGTCTCGAAGCCAGTCTTAATGTTGCAGTGAGTATCAAGATTGAACTGCCTTTTTGGGCACCCTTCGCAAGTTCTGTGCAAGGAATCATACCAGAATCTTCGATCACATATACAGAGGCAGTGCCCAGCCACTGGAACAGGGCCCGTTTAGTATTGCTTCCAGCTTCTCCTCCAGATGTATACCTCAGCACTGTACGAGTCCCCTGCAAGTATGGAATGTTCTGGATAATCTCTACATGCCAAGACATGTATGAGGACCCCGAAGAGCACCCTTTGTAGGTCGCTCTCATCTGAAAATTGAGCTATGGTCCACATGCAGAGACTCTCTAAACCCTGTCAAAATTTAAAGCTAAGGGCATGGCCCTGCACGCAAACCCTGCTCTCTCCCCAAGCCTTGCTATTCGCCTTGTGCACATGGAAGGTATCCTTCATATGGATTTGAAGTTGGAATCGACAGGGAAATGTTGCAGTGCAATTTGAGAACGGACAATCCCGACGGCCCTGAGCTGGGTGGGAACCTTCTCGCCATAATCGCCGTCGATGAATGCTGATGCTGGGGTTTTGCATGCCGCAGATAAGAATTTCAAGCGATGAGAAGGCGGGTCGTACGAGTTTGCAGCGATTTGAGGAACTGAAGAGAGACGATTTAGTCCATCATACTGAAGGTTGTCTCGGCGCGACAGGCAATATTGCGAGACGCTGGACTGAAGAGCCAGATGTTGCTGAATGTACGATGGAAGGAGGTTCATCCTGTTGAAGTTTTGAGCACTTCCCCCAATCCATGGAGAGCTTTCTGGGCGACACAGGGAGAGCTTCGAGTGCAGACGATCAAGCCCAAGCTTGAGAAGAAGCTACGCCATTCTGGTGATATTTGGAAAGGGGCAGGAGGGACCGGTCTTCAGCTCGTTAATACTGCACGAAAGGACATTGATCTTTCGCTTTTCTTTGCTCACGTTTCATGAGCTCTTTGGGTGTATCGAAGGATGGTAGCTTTGGGGACTTCTGGGTGGCGCTCGTTATAAAACATCCAAAGTGTCATCAGTTAATAAAGGACTCGCCACTGGGGTCAATCGACAGTGGTGTTGCACGGCTGACCCAGGAGAAGGCAAGAAGGATGCCGGATGACGGCGATTTCTCACTTGTATGCAAGCATCTACAGCCATCGCCCAAATGTTTTTGCTCCGATCAGTTCCTGCGATGGAGTTCCCCATACACGCATGTTATCCAGAGTAAGTAAGATTTAACACCCACAACAGGACAATCAAGCCCCCACACGACACAAAGACCCTCCCATTCAATCTGATGAGGGGAAACACCCTGTTCGTCAGGAATGGTCCAACCATGTTTTTTACGTGTGCCAACACTGGAACTGCACCCTTTGATACCGATGTGTGTCTAGGGAGTTGTAGATGGTCATGTCTGTTAGTTTTGTGGTTCTGTCGTGAATCTGCAGATTCGGGACTGAATATTAAGCTCGTGCTGTGATTCTGGTGGGGTCTCCTGAGGATTCTCTCCTACAACGATAATGCGAACGTTGCCGATACAAGCTTTTACCCTTGTATCATCTTGTTGTGTAGCTACTCTATGCAGACACCGCCATTTATTTGATGTCAGTATGGTACAACAGCTCCATCTCAAAGCAGAACTTTGATTTTATTCATAACCAGCAGTGCATTCAGACTGCACCAAATTATAGATTTACCGTCGTAATGTTTTCAGCTACCGTTCATTCCAGGGCTGCTATGTTTGCTGTCAATCAGGAGTTGCAGCAAAACAATCTACCTGACAGCCCGGACATGGCATCCGGCCAATCGCGGCTCTGTCCGGCTGTTACGAATTAATATTGAGGGCCCCACACAGCCCCTGTAGACGAATGTCCTGGAGATGCTACAAGCTCATGCACCCAGCAAGACATGGTGCGTTACTCTCAGACAGTTGCGTGGCTGCGCCTTCTCTCATCGCATTGCGCGCCCAACCTATTGCAGTTTGTTTCGTTGTCGTTTGGACTGACAGCAGATGACCAGACGTCATCGTGGACCTGGACCATGTCCCTCTCGTAGGGAATACATTCTTGACCTTCCTGGACTGCTTGCTTCCACCATGGATACACTGTAGGGCGATTCTCAGGCCATCAGCAAGCTTACAGCCCGAATGACAGAAATAATTGGTGCAGGAGATGAGACCAGGCTTCAATGATCAGTAAAGGGGACCAAACTCTGAGGACAGAGGTGCATGTGCTGCAAATGTGAGCAAAGGATTCAAGCAAGCTCATCGCACCGTGTCGAATTGGGCTGCAAGACTGGCACTGAGCTCCAGCTCCCCATCGTTCTTCCTGTCCGATAAGGCAGCGTGTGTGGCTTGCTGGGGTCCATACACGCGGACTTCTCTGACATGGGTGTCTTTGCCGTTCTGGTGGTTGCTCACAATCATGAGTTGCAGGAGGAAGAGCTTTACACCCAAACTGCACTCGACGGGGGTGCCAGAGCGTTGGGAAGAAGCAGTCAGTTGGCGGAGTATGTGATGTATTTCATCCTACCCTAAAAACTGTCACACGTTTAGGGGCAGCTTTCCGGCAATGATTGCTGCTGGAAGTGTGAATGCTTGTCATGCACTACGACTACCAGCGTCGAGTGTCAATTACCTGTGCAGAGAACCTCCCAAGATATCCCTTGCATTACGGTGCCACTCCCGCCGCTCCCCCTCACCTTGGGTCTTCCTCACTGCCCAATGGGATGACGACCCAGCCCTGCGGCTCATTTACTTCCACTGTACGGATCTCCTTGAGGTCAGTATAGGATGTGCCACCTCGCACAGCTAGTTGTCGAGGGGTGTAGCTCTCGTCCAGCTTGTAGTTGAGGAGCACTGCCAGTGTGCTTACTCGGGTCTTCAACAAGTGTGGAGGGAAGCGTAAGTCAGCGATGGCGGCAGGGTCATCAGATGTGCACACTTGATCAAAGGGGTAAACCCCGCTGTCAGTCCTGAAACTCTCGTGACCATGTGCAATGGATCTGTCTAGCCATCATGCTGTTTCTCAGGCGACCCACCAGGAGAAAGACATGCTGCATGCAAACCACCGATGTGACGGTACCTTCTTTTGGAAGCTAATGTCCACCAGGTGCGGCTGCATGCCATCCGACTGCCAGTACGTATCCTCTCGCCCATCTCGTAGCATGTCCACTCCATTCCCTGGTTTCGCGCTGGTGACACTCCAGACAGCGAGTTGCCCCACCTCCCGGGTCCCAGGCCCATGCTTGAAGCTGGCCACCACTGCGTCACAGCGAAAATGACCGTTGCATGACATGACGGGCCATGCCAAATTCAAGAATGTGCCCATATGTATTCTTGTTCCCTCGTAAGCTTGCCTGGCATGCTGGTCATGGTGATGGGCCCCCGCAGAATGCCCGAAAGCCTTAGGCCGGCAGCATGATGATGGGGGAAAGGATTATGTCCTTCGCGCTGCGAGTCCTGAAGGGACCATCCGGATTCAAGAAATCTATGACACCACTCAAATACTTTTATAAGTATCCACTCTACGGCGCTTCAGCAAGTTTCGTCCCGGTCCACCGCGGCACGATACCTTTGATGTTTTCAAATCACCGTGAGCGCGCCTTGCGATGGGTGGGGCACTGGAGGGATCCGCCTATCCACCTGTTATTGGTCAACCGCATCTTCTCCGCCCGGCATCGGCACGTCATCCCGATGGGAGAAGAAGACATTCCAAGTGTTCAAAGGTGTCGCGGATGACCTTCCGGAAGTCGCTGTGCAGGTTGTGACCCGTCGCGACCGTCGAGACTCATTGGCCTTCTCTAAACCGTGTGCAGAATTTCGGACGCGCTCTTTGCCTCCATCGCCAATCAAAATCAGCGTAAGGCATCAAGGTGTTTTCCGGGGGGTTAGGTCCTGACTTTGTTAGGTGAATGTTTACATCGAAGTCCTCCGTGACAGGCACATCGCTTACCCTTCCAAACTACCACCCTGCAGTGACTGAAGACCACCTAGTCAGGTAGTCTGCGAGGGCGTACTTGACGAGCATGATGGATTTATCACGTCTGATTTGGTTGGGATGCCGAGACATCCACTTTCCCATTCGATGTTCTCACAGCTTGAGTGTTGTGTTCGGCAAGCTATTGCCCAAGGCACTCAGGACCTTGGACACGGGAGGAGTCTTTTGCTTCCAAGGAGAACCTAGCGGGCGCAGTGTGTACCATGTAAGAGGAGGGCACTCCTTTACGTCGGATTGTAAAGGGGAATTGCTCTGCAACCTAACTCTAGGACATGTTGGCCAGCGCCCCACTCCAATGCTTGCACAGATCCAGGGACAATCAGGTTCAGAGCCATACTTGGTCTACCCTGAACATTTTTGCGAGTGTCACGCCTTCCAGTTTGACGTCCTCACAAAGCAAGACTCTGTGCTGGTGAGTGCATTTGCAGCGCTGTGTTCTGGCCCCATGGCTGATCCCAGATGTGGGATGTGGGATCGAGCCTGGTTTGCATCCTGCATGCTCAACAGTGCCCCCACCAAACCTGGCCCTCATGCAGTGCAAGCACCAACTTGCTGCTCGCCTGGCGTGCTCACTTGGCACGCTGCGCACTTCGACAGTCAGCGACCTTGTCATAGCAGATCTCTTGCTCCAACCACCTGTCCGTCCTTGAGGAGGGCGTGTAGTGTCTCAGGTGTTGCACACATTCGCATTCCAAGCTTCAGCTTCATCAGAGACCCCACTCTTCACGATGCCTTTGCGATGGCTGCTATCACGAGTGGACACAGCCTTTGTGGACGCCCACTCCAGGACCTCTGGAGGTCTCGCCAAGACTCGGGCAGTCGTGCTGGACGACACGGCAGCCCTGCATGAGCACCTGCATGCCCATCACATGCACATGCAGGCCCAGGGGCAGCGGAGGGTGGCCCCTTTCGTGATCTGGCTCCTCATCTTCCTTCACGTGGCCTTTGTTGGCGGGCTGCTGTGGACCTGGTACTCTCAAAAATTAGGAAAGGCGGTGATCGGAGCTGCTAAGCGAGAAAGCCTTCCACAAAAGGTGAGCTGGAGCCTGGTGCGGTGGAGTGGGAGGTTTGTAAGCTTTTGCGAGGTGCGTGAATCGCAGGGGTTCCTGGCATGAACGTGTCACAGAGGAGCGTGGTACCTTGTTGGGGCTGGGTAACTGCTGACATGGTGAGCATAGAGCATGGATCCAGTGCACCCTCACGCCATGATGTACCGGGAGTAAGCAAGAGTCAACCCTTACTCCCAGGTGAACTGTGTCTACGAATTTGCCATGCCAAACCTACGAACAGCTCCTGACATCAAAGCCAAGAGCTAATGTGTCGGAAGATGCGCTGAGCCAGACGCTCTGGACCTGATCTGCTTCCCTACTAGACGATGAGGGACCAACCACTGTGTACAATCACCAGAACCTTCATGGACCTCGAGATGAGCTACTCTCCCCTATGCCTGCGCCCATGCCCGCACAATGCACATTGTATGTCACCTTGGATGGGCAGCCTGACTTTCACCTGCGTCTAGCCTCCCTCAATGTATCACGCCAGTGAGGCTGGGGAAGACGGTTTGGGGCTCATGCTGAGGAAGCGAAACTTTCGGAGTTCTTTGCCACGTCATCGCCCATCTTTCCATCCTCTCGACACAACAGCAAAAAATGTAGCGTCCTCCTCACATCAGATTCCGCAACGAGGAAGCAGCTGATACAACTAGTATGGTTCCTTTGCGATGCAAGTTAATCCTGCGGTAGTCGTGGTGCCGCCCTTTCAGTGCGCGTGGCTCACCGACCCGGAGTATATTTTGCATGGCGGCAGGGGTTGTCTGACCTTTGAAGTGAGAGGTGCGTACATGGAGATCGAGGATGCCTTTGTAGATCGGGTTCCATCCGTCAGTAATAGTGGACGGCACGCCTCGAATTGCGGTGTCAAGACGATTTGAGTCTGTGTCGGATGACCACTTCCTACGACGTGGTTAGGTGACAACGATGTAACTGTCCTCCTGAAGCAACAACCCGGCTCAAGGCGCTGGCAGCATTTGAGTGCCGCGGCAGGATCGAATTTAGAGAGTAATTATACCGTGATCCTGGGCAGCCACCGCAACAGCTGTCTCAAGATTGAGAAGGATGGAGTGCTCTGTTGCTCTGTGAGTTTTGGTCGATACTGTTGTGCTCATTGCTCCAGACATGCATGCGTGGGCTTCAATCTGATGTTTCACCATTGGACGCTTACACACTCACTCCCCACGGATCCCCCAGGTCAATGACGTGGCAGTTGCCAGGCTGCCATCTCAAGCGTTCATGCGGTGTTGGATCAACTTTGATAGGGGCTGCATCACTGTGGGTCTGGGAGATCCTGGGACGAACGTCAGTCACACCTGGCGGGACCCAGATCCCATCGAGAGCATCTCATACGCGGGTGTGCGGTGCAGAGAGGGGTGAACCGTCAGCGGTGCAATGTTCACAAGGGGGACCACTTCTGAGTCGACACGATCCTGCAGACCGCGTAGGTTGCAGAGCGGCATCTTGACGCCATCATTGCCGACACACCCATCTGACTCTGCCGTTTGTTGTCCGACCAACAGGGCTGAGTGCCTGGGACACACACATTGTGTACCGAGCCATTCGGGTGCTCCCTGTGCTGAACGTGCAGCAGGGCACAGACCTCAAGGTAGGCCCCATTCTCTGCATGCACTCACTTGACGCATGGCAGCTGGCCCTCGTCAACTGCTATATGCAGCTGTTTACATGTTCACCATGAGTTTCCCCACCTCTGCCGAACACAGTCTACACAACTCCCCTCTCTCCTGGACCTGGCATGCAATACACTGCGTGACTGCCTGCGCCCTTCAAGCGTTTCGGCAGTGCTGGTGGTGGTCGATGCACTGGAACCGACACTGCCTGTGCTGCGCCAAGCTGCGCTGTCCTTTGCGGCCGAGCACCTGCAAGAAGCCCTGGCCCAGGATCCCGAGGGTGTGGCGGGTCTGCCGGCCCCCATGCTGTCCGAAGTCCTTCGATCCCAGGCCATGGTAAGCAAGTTTCAGGCGAGGTGACCGTGAGACTACCATGGCGATGTTGCAATACCACAGTGTCGCAGTGCGCAACAAAGCTTTAGGCTGCACACATTGTGCCTTCTCGTGTCACCTCACTTCCTCCTCCCATACCGCAGAGTTGCGGGGAGATGCTGGTCTTCAAGGTAATCACAGTCTGGGCAGCTGCACGTGGCGGGCCTGAGGCAACCCCGGACCTTGACATCCTGCTGCCGCATGTGCGATTCCCTCTGATGACGCTGGAAGAGCTCGATGTGAGGCAGGGGCGGCGGAGCGGCGGCAGGGTTGCCTGCCTCCGGCTTTCATGGAGTAGCATCCTGTGCCCTAAGTAGAAATGGCAGTGCCGAACCTGTGCATCCAGACTCAATAGACCTGATGCTGCATTACGTTTCAGCAATCCAATTGCTTGAAGGATGACCATGACATGCGCCCCTCCCCCCCTTCCTTTCGAGCAGTGCGTTCAGCAGCACCCGCTATGGGAGACCTGCTCCATGCTCAGGCAACTCGTGCGAGAGGCTCACGAGGCGAATACTGCGATGGGCAGCCCAGAGAAGCTCGTGTCCTCTCTGCAGGCCGCCGGGCCGCCCCGACTCCCTTCACGCCAGGAGGCGGCCCTGTCAGCACGCTTCCTTTCCAGAACCACCCCAGGCTGTGTGGAGCTGCTCTTCGTGTGTCCCGGTGACAAAAACGGGGTGACCTACTGGCTGGCAACCCAGGGCGGTCAGCAGCAGTGGGTGAACCCCATGCTCTCCGGACGGGTCAAGGTGCGCATCCCGCTGAAACAGAGCGACTGGTTGGCCGAGAGCCTTGACGAGGGCATTTGCACATGGTCGCAGACTCTCAGCTCCGCTCCCATGGGACTGTGGAGACCACAGTGCCATGATTTCATGGTGGCAGCTGCGCCATTGTTGCCACTGGCTTGTGTTGCCCGTCTTTTTAAAACGCTGCCAAACGTGTTCTCCCCCCTCCCACCACTCCAGGTGCAAGCCAGCAGTCCTGCATGCCGAAGCACCAACCCGGCGTCTTGTGTGGCGCTGGGCCCTCCCCGCCTCAATTTTGCGGCTCCCCGGAGCGAGGCAGGCAGGCTGGTTTCCTGGTGGTCGCTGGACCTCGGGCCTCGGCACCAGCTGGCCTGTTCAGCCTACACTCTGCGCCACGACAAGTCACACGACCCACTGCGCAGCTGGACCCTGCAGGTGAAGACGTTGAGGGGGACTCTGAGACTGAAAGTCTCCGGGAATCAACGCACGACCGTTCCTCGCCTCTGGAACATTTTGGGGGCTAATTTTCTTGGAAGACAGGGACTTGTTCTATGTTCGACAGAACTGAGTAGAGGATGCCACACATTGAGGCACTTCCCTGACCCTTTGGATGCCCTCCATGCAGGCCTCCCGTGACGGTCCACAGTGTGGGTGGGAGGACCTGAGGAGGCACGAGAACGACTTGACCTTGCGTCTTCCAGGCCAGTATGGATCATGGGCCGTGACTGGGCATGCCGCGACGGTGCCGTACCGCTGCTTCCGCATCTGCGTAATGCAGATGCAAAAGGGGAATGAGAATCCCTGGCATGCCTCCCTGGCTCAAATCGAGCTGTATGGCAACCTGTACGTGGATGGGAAGGAGGAGGATGCCGATGTCTGGGAGCTGGCTGGTGTGGCCGCCAATGGGCTCGGGTAGAATCCCCCACCCGCCCACCCACCCACCCTCCCGCTCCCCGCGCCCAGCCTCTCCCGATCACAATAAGAACTCCCTGATCGCCCGGTATGACCTGTTGACACTCCTGCTCACTAAGATCGAACGGATCCGCTGCTGTAAATTTTCCCTCCGAACACGGGCGCCCTATACAAAGTTGACAAGTGCACAAGGAGGTGTTAGCCATGGCCACGCTGCATACGGCAAAACAGGTCGCCACTGCGTTTCAGCGAGAGTACGCAAAAACGCCAGCAAAACTGAAGGTACAAAGGGATGTCCTGTGGGACTACGTATGCTCATGCATTGCTGGAGATTTGTATGCAACCTACCGACCCACGATCACTCTGAACGCAGGTGCTGGACGCCTTCTCGGGCCTTGCCATCGCCACGGCACTACTTCAGGTGGGGTGTAGTCCAACCTATGTCGCGAGTGTGGCTCACGCTCGGTGGAATCCATACGTGGCTCAGTAACTTTCTCGAATGCCACCCCCACCAGTTCGTGTATGCGGTCCTCATCGGGAGCTTTCCCTTCAACGCATTCTTGGCTGGCTTCTTCTGCTGCATAGGGGCCTTTGTACTCTCAGGTGGGTTGCTGAGGACTGGTATGCGGAGACTCTGCTGATGTTGGGCGGCATCTGCAATGTCTGAGTACCAATCCACTGCCATGATGTCCCTCTGTGCAGTGTGTCTGCGGATGCAGGTAGACCCGGAGGACATGAGTGGGAAGACAGAGAGAGCTTTTACTGAGTATGCTCTCGCAATGTGTGTCCTATTCCTTGCAGCATTGAACTATGTTGGTTGACAGTGCTACGTGTGCCAAACCCCGTCCGTGTGACTGCCTGCACTCAGCAGCCAAACAGAGGTCACAGCGCCAGGAAGGCATGCCTGGATTGTCCTCTCTTTACAACTGCATGCCCAGCATCTCAGAGAGCATTTTCAGCCTTGTCCTTCCATCGCTCAGCCGATATTTCCGTGCATAAAGGTCGCTCTCCTCGACGGGCTGGAGGAATTCGTGCCTGATCTGGTCTCGCAGCTCGTCTGCAAAGGGTGAGTGTGCATTCCTGGCTCACGGGAGGTATGATTACCCAGAAGCTGGCCCCTGAAGATTCCTCGGTGCACATACCTCTGGATGCGGGTGCGCTGCGAGTTACCCTGAGGAAGTGCCGGAAGAGCTTTCGAGCCTCGGCTTTGAGCACGAAGGACTGCAGCTCGCTCTTCATCCGTTCGATCTGTTCCCGGAGGACTAGAGCATTCTGGATATCGGGATGATAAAGGCGTATTCTTTGGGAAATAATGCGGGTATGGAAATCGCCTCGAACCCTTCGTCGTCGTGGTGTTGCATAGGTGCCATGCATGTCCTTTAGCTCTCTCGAATCATTCTGAGGGGCGTCCATGTTAGCAGCACATGGCTTGAACATCCGACACACGCTGCCAGTTCCAGCAACCCTTGCACCCAGTTGAGGTTTACTCCCGTCCAATAACAGTTGTGCAGGCCATCGAGACTGGGGAGTGGAAAACACACTGCTGGGGCCCCCTGCAGAGCAATCTGCATTGGTGCTGGTAGGCCTCAAGAGGATTGGTTGTCCGCTGGAGCAGACAGTTCTGTAATCTTCCCATCCTGATCGATGCGCAGCGTGGACGTATTGTGATTTGTGTATATGCAGGCATCCGCTGCGATCCGCATAGCTTTTTGTGCAATGGTGAGGGCGTCCATGCCAGGCACATCGATCAAGGCCCTTGCTGCAGCCAATGCGTAGGGACTGCCACTGCCAATAGCTGAAGTGAGGGAGGTCGGAGACACAACTCAGTTGGCAATATTGGCAGAGTTGCATGGGCGAAAGGAAAGTCCCTGGCCCATGTCAGATGGTCCAACACGGTGACATTGTGTTTGTAGGTTTCCATTCAGACAATACCGAGCAGCCAGAATCCATGCGAAACTCACAGATAATTCCATCGTGGGGTTCCAGAACGTCACCAGTCCCCGTGATCTGTAGTGATTGATTCTTGTCGGCCACAACCAGGGCCGCCTACAGTGGATGCAACCTTGAATTAGCTGGGCAATGGAGAGGGGTTTCCACGCAGTTTGGTCCTTCAGGACTCCATCCGCCATAGAGGCTCCCATTCCTTGCGAACTTCATCAACAACCCAAAGCACAAAGCTGCTCTTCAAGGCCAGGACATGGTTTCCAGCGTACATCAAGGCGTCGGAGATACTTGTCCATCCTCCACATCTTTGCCAGCTCGACTGCTGCCCGCGTGAGCTGGCCAGTGTGCTCCTCAAGTTTGCCCTCCAACCTCTCAAACAGGGTGAAAGCATCCGCGGTGGCACCTGGGATTCGCAATGAGCAAAGGGGAAAGTCAAGCAATGAGGATGAGGTAAGCATCGCTCGAGGGTGAAGTGAATAAGCCTATATGAGACATCAACAGAAGCTCGACCCACCTGCAAATCCGCCCACTGCGTGCTCCCCAATCTTGCGAGTCTTCCTGACATTTGGCTTGACGACTGTGCCGCCCATCGTCACCTGCCCATCTGCTATGAGGACCACCTGGGACACGGATCAGGGTGCAAAACATTGCTACCTCGCACACACCACTGCCTACAAGTCGATCGTATGACTATTCGATGCGATCAGAACATAATCCTCGTACCTCGCCATCCTTCCGCACACAGAGGACGGTGGTGCTTCTGGTCTGGGGCTCTCCACCCATGAGACGCGCAGCCAGCGGCAGGGTCCTGGACACGGAGCATGCTGATGAAAAGGGAGCAAGACTTTCCACCAGACGACTACAGCGGGACAGCATGGTCCTGCCTGGACCCCTCCTTTAGTGCGTGCGACGGTAGAGGGCGGTGTTCGCGTCAGCGTTCGGTCACGAGGACAGGAGGGTGGGATCGAACGCTGTAGGGAATACAGCCAACGCTTTAAATCTTTATGTGGGCGAACCTTGTCACATAAACCGAGATGGCAGGCTCAAAAACCATTTCCACCACCAAGGAGACTCCCAACCCCGTCGTGTCGGGGCCCAGCGCGCCATGGTCGACCTTTCCTTCCACGCATCCCTGCGATTTTCAAAAACCCTCAGTTCCGCGCCCTGCCACTAGATGAACTCGCACGACATTCGAGTCTACTCTGTCACCCTGAAGAAGACGACCAGGTATCGAAACGGGTCTTCTCGTTCTGATAAACAGTCCTGCACAGTCGTACTCTACACAAGATGGGCGACGACAGAATGGATACAGGTGAGGTCAGACAGAATCGCGTCGTCAGCTGTACATGGCCACTGGCGTGTGCAAGGACTGAAGTTTTTGTCAGTATTGGGAGAATAAGCAAAACTAAGAGACTCCAAAATTGTGCGGTGCCATTGCAGGACCCTCCGGTCGTCCAGAGACTGACCAGGGATTCACCAATATGGGTACCCAAGAGATGATGAAGCTGTACTACGGTGCGACCATGGAAATAAACCGCAACGTCGAGACATTGAACCTTCTGAAGGCTATTTTCAGACCTGTTGCCAGCTTATCGCGTACCTGTGTTCCTGCGCAGGCTGGATCTTTCCATACCGTGACTTCTACAAGTGGCTGGCATACGGAAATGGTGAGAATCTGCTCTAGATGTGGCAGTCCTTGCCCTACAAAAACGAAGTGGACCAAATTGCAATCGAAATTTCACAGCAACAGCGTATCCTTCCTCTGACAATCCCTTGGTGTGCCCCATTGCAGACAGCAAGCTTCCACAGGCTGATGCGGGCTTCATGCAGCGGCGCGAGTTCTGCTTTACTCTGGATGGCGATATTTTTGTGCGTTACCAGAGCTTCAAGGCGAGTCAGGGTGCTGGTGCCTCCTTTGCCCAGCTTGGCTTGGCTTACAGGTGACGCCGTAATCCATTGAGCCCCTCCTTGCCTGGCCACACACGGAGCGCTGGGGAGCATCAACTTGTGGGGGTTATGACATTGTCATCACCAGACACCCACCACCATCTTGATACCGTCCCATGACCAGGACCTGGACGGGCTGCAGGCAGCCATCAAGGAGCGGTGCCCTTCAAAGCTTGACATTGGGCCCGTGTACAACATCAATCCCGCACGCCGCGCTGCGTATGCAGGTCGGTCCCCTTGCTGGAAACAGGGGGATCTGTACATGTGCCACCGCTGATGGGATCCCCTTTGGGTGAATGGCAGACCCAACTTCCAGCTTCGGCGAGGACCCGCAATGTTCTCCAGATCATTGGCACTCCTCACCTCACTCGCCCTGACGCCCTTGCCCACTCGGCCCCTATCAGGTTCTGGCCAGACCTTCACGCCAGTGGAGAGGGAGCTGGTCTTTGACATTGACCTCACAGACTACGATGACGTGCGGACCTGTGGCTCCGGCGGGCATATCTGCAACAAGTGCTGGCCGCTCATGGCAGTTGCCATCCAGGTCAGGCCTCGGCATGGTCTGAGGACACACCCTGATCATCAACATTTGATTCGATGATACCTCTGTGGACAAAACCGAGGGTTGCAAGTGCCACTCTCCCAATCTTGCAGACAGGACCCCCCTCCCCCTCCCCCTCCATACACTATGCATGCAGATCCTGGATGCCGGTCTGCGGCGCGACTTTGGCTTCCAGCACATCCTGTACGTCTATTCGGGGAGGCGCGGCGTGCATGCCTGGGTCTGCGACGACCGCGCGCGCTGCCTGAGCGACGAGCAGCGCACCGCCGTCGCCAACTACTTTGCGGTGTACCGCGGCCAGGAGGGCGGCCTCGCTCGCCTGGCCTTGGGACTGGAGGAGCACCCCGCCGTCACGCGTGCGGCCGCCATTCTGGAGCCCGTGTTCGTCGAGGTGCAGTTTCTTTTTGGGAAGAGAAGAAAGAAGTGCAGGCGCAACGCATGCACTGATGGCTGGGCCACACGTAGATGGAGGTAGCCATGGTGCGCCGGTACACCAGCCAAACATGCATGCAGACCCTGGTATGAATTGGACCTGTGCTTTACCTCCCAGTTCTCTTCCCAATGTCACGCAGAGGCTGCTGCCCGAGCAGGGGCTGCTGTCCGACGACAAGCGGCAGGAGGCGCTGCTGGCCTACATCCCCTCGGAGCGCGTCCGGGAGCGCGCTCGCCAGCGCTGGGCCCAGGGGGAGGCCGGGGACGACGTGGCCCGCTGGCATGCGCTGGAGGAGGAGGTGGCCAAGGAGCAGGCGGTGGGTCCGGGGTCAAAGGAGGGGCGTGCGGAGGGTGGTGGAGGGGGAGAAGCACAGGCTCTTGGCTGTTGCTTGGGTGCATGAAAACGCCGTTTTGTGTGAGTATGCAAGGGACCCTACTGGTCATTTGTCTGGTGAACACACCGTGCCAAAGCCAATCCCCCCTCCGCCCCCTTATCATTGCCTTGACTCTCACTCCCACCCGCGTCACCTCGCACGCAGACCCTCGCAAAGGCGCGCGACACGCGCGGGGCAAAGGCCCTGGACCGCGCCATGCGCAGCGTTGTATTTGCCCACGCCTACCCACGCCTGGACCTGGAGGTGTCCAAGAAGATGAACCACCTGCTGAAGGCGCCGTTCTGCGTGCACCCCAAGACGGGCAAGGTGTGCGTGCCCATCGACCCCGAGCGCGCACACAAGTTTGACCCCGAGACTGTCGTCACGGTCGGCCGGCTCCTGGACCAGCTGAACAAGGCCCGGGGCGGGGTGAAGGGGAGCGATGCGGTGCGTGGTGTGGCGTGGTCATGGTGCCTGGGGTGGGTACAGGAGGGGGGAAGGGCCTGAGACCGACCCAGCAAGGATGGCCTGATGACAGCCGCCTTCAACATCACGTCCATGGGTCGGGCAACCGGGCATGCAGCGTCGGAGAAGCACCGTCAAGCCTGCTGGGCATGCCCCAGCACGCCTCCAGGCCACCGATCGCTTTCCTCCTCTCTGACCATCGCAGGGCGAGGAGTGGCGCTCCACCGACCTCGTCCCCGCCATCCAGACCTTCCGGGCTTGCTTCCTGGACGGCCTCCAGGGCGCATGCCGCGAGTCGCTGGCCGCCCGTGCCAGGGAGAGCGCCGCTCAGCCCACCTTGGTGTGGTGAGGCTTGCAGCCTTGTCAGGGAGGGCGGCAGATAGGGCTCGATGCATGTGTTCCCCACATTCTCGCCGTTCCCTACTACGCATGCGTGTGTGCACCCCAGTCTCTAAACCCGCTTCAGCCACTGGACAAGAGTTACAAGGTGAGGGGTTTTTAGGACAATGCGCCCCTGGGCTGGGGACCACGGCCACCGAAGCAGGGCAAGGATCGAGGTGTAAAGGCAAGCAGCAGTGATATGTGGGGGGGAGGTCTCGCAAAAAGGCGTCACTGACTCTTCTGATCCGGCCGCGGCGACCCGGTATGCCATGGCAGGTCGCGGCGTCTCTTCTCCCGGGGCAAGCTGCGCTGCTGGGCCGGGGGCGATCACATGATGATGGTGCCAGGGTCCAGCACGGACTCCTTGATCTCCTTGTGCGGCAGGACAATGGCGCCGTTCATGTAGATCTCGTCGCGGATGACCACGTCCTCCCCGATCACGGCCTTGTTGTCCACACGAGCCCAGGAGCCCACTGCGAGGGGTGGGTGGGGCCGAAGGGCGCGGTTGGGTGGGTGTGGGAGCAAGCCGGGCAGAGTCACAGGGGGAAGTGGCCCGCAGTGAGCAATACTGAGAAAGTACCAAGGACACTCTGGAGTCACGCTCCCGCTGACTCCTCCCCCCACCATGCCCCCCACCCTGACTTGTGCTTCTCCTCGTCTCCTCACAATGCTGTCCCTTTGTGGGCAAGCGCTCCCCCCACCCCCCAACCCCTAGTCATCCACCCATCCAGGCCCCCGCCGCCCACCTGAGGAGCCCCAGCCCACGATGGAGTCCGACACCCTCGCGTAGTTCTTGACGGTGACGCGGTGCAGCAAGACGCAGTTGCTCAGGCGCACGCCATCCCCGATCACGCACAGCTTGCCGATGGAGACGTTGGGTCCGATGAGGCAGTTCTGGCCGATGACGGCGGTGTCGTCGATGATGACGTCTCCGCGCACGCCCTCGCCCGCCGCCAGCTCCTGGGGGCGGCGGTTCCGCACGCAGGCCAGGTGCAGGCCCAGCCCTGTGAGGTAGTCCTTGGGCTGGCCCACATCCATCCAGTACCCCTCCAGGTTCATGGTGTGCAGGCGCCCATCGGCGGCGATGGCGGGGAACACCTCCTTCTCGATGCTGGTGGGGCGGGGCTGAATGCGGTCCAGCACGCTGGGGTTCAGGCAGTAGATGCCGGCGTTGATGCGGTCGCCCACAAAGACGCGCGGCTTCTCCACGAAGCGGTCCACGCGGCCGTCGGGCGTGGTCACCACCACGCCGTACTTGGATGGGTCCTCCACCTTGGTCACCAGGATGGTGGCCTCGGCGCCGCTGGCGCGGTGCACCTCCAGCATCTCCTTCAGTGGGTACTCGCAGATGACATCGCTGTTCAGCACGAAGAAGGGCGTGCCATGGCCATCCTCCAGGATGTGGCGGGCCAGCGCCAGAGGACCCGCCGTGCCCATGGGCTCCGGCTCCTGGGAGCAGGTGATCTTGATGCCCAGCTTCTCTTCCCACTCCTTGAGGAAGTCCATCATCACCTGCATGCATGCATGCGGGGTGGGGGAGGTGAGCGGGCTGGGCGCGGGGCGGGTGCATACATCTCAAGGCTCAGGGGCATATGATCCAGCCAGCCAAGCCCAGGAGAGGGACAGGTGGCAACTTCAGTGCACCACCTCAATGTGCCTGCGCCCATGCGGGCTCCAAGGCTCACTCCCGCGGACACACAACGATGCAGTGGTGGTGGTGCCCTGCTGGAGGCCTCCTGACTGGTCACCGAAAAGGAGCGACTGTACCTGGGGTCTGTAGTTGATGGCAAGAACCACCTCGTCACACCCCGCCTCTTTGAGCGCCTGTGGGGAGGAGCGGAGCGGCATGCTCAGGGGGCGCGTCCGTCAGACAGTCACCTGCACCACAGCCCTCCCCGCGCTCCGGCCGCGTTTTGGGGACCCTGACGTCTCGGACGCACTGAACAATGAAGCATACCTCAATTTGATGGCATATCATGGGTTTATTTCCTGCAAGGGGCCAGAATGAGAGGTGGGGGATTGGCGGAAGTCCATGAATGCACTGGCTTGGGGTAGTTGCGGCTCGGCTCCTCGACCTCACCGAAATCGATGATCGGCTTTGGCACGGTCAGCGTCAGAGGTCTCAGACGTGTACCGTATCCCCCGACCAGGACCAGGGCCTTCGGTGCCCGGGGGCTGGAGTCTGTGCTCGCAGCCATGAAGCACAATGAGCTGCTGGGTTCAGTTGAGGATGGTCACTTCAAAGCGTGGTGCACTCCACAGCTTCTGAATACGAGTTCCGATAGAAACGAGGTAATTTACTGGCATGTAATCGACCATGTGTGGTATCGTCCTGTTGCGCTTATTCACCCTGGTCGTTGGAGCATGCTGAACTACGACTTCGATTCGACCGAGACTGGCAAGCGATGTGGGGGCGGTACACCCCTCCTGTACCGCCCCGCGCTGTGCCCATCGCACAGCAGAATGCCCCGGAGTGGACAGGATTCCTCGGGACGGAGGGGTGTTGCTGATTTCCCATCCGGATCACGACATCCACATCAAATCGATATTGCAGCTCGCAAGCGGGTGCTGCACCCTCTTCCCCTGTTGCCGGCGCGAAAAAGGAGTATCGCCGCACTGGCTGAGGTTTAAGCCCCTCGGCACACGCCATGGAGGGCCACGGGCCCGGGGCAGAGCATCCCTTTGCGGGAGGGATGCCCCCAGTGGATGAGGCGATGCTGGAGGACAAGGTGCGACAGCGACAGTGCAGCCATCACCTGGGGTGATGCGCCGGGAGAACGGCTGACCCTCGGCAAGCGGTCCTCACGTGCATGCAGTCTATTTGTTGATTGGCTGGTATTAATAGCAGCGGAAGGTGGCGACGATGTCGTGGCTCGCGAGCCCTATCCCCCTCCTGCCGTTGCTGCAGGCTCGCAAGTGGCAGCAGCTGAATAGCAAGCGCTACTCCGACAAGCGCAAGTTCGGATATGTCCAGGCCCAGAAAGAGGACATGCCTCCAGGTATAAGGGGGCAGTGAGACAGAGGCTGGAACGCCTGGCCATGGGGGGGGGGAGAGGTGCATGAGCTCTCGCAAATGTGGGAAGTGGGAAGTGTAGGGCGCTCGTGCATTTCTCCTTTCAAGGCCCTTCGCCGTGTGCTCTTCCTATGTTGGGGAGGAATAAATTGGTGCATACCTGGCACTGTGCATGACCAGCCTTACTGCTAAAAAGCCAGGATTGGTTCTGCGCATGTATCTCCCGAGTCTGGCACCCAAAAACACACACAGACACGCCCCACCTTGCATCCCCAACTTGCCCAGAGCACGTGCGCAAGATCATCCGCGACCACGGCGACATGTCGTCGCGCAAGTTCAGGCACGACAAGCGCGTCTACCTGGGCGCCCTCAAGTTTGTGCCACACGCGGTGTACAAGCTGCTGGAGAACATGCCCATGCCCTGGGAGCAGGTTCGGCATGTCAAGGTGCTCTACCACGTCACCGGGGCCATCACCTTTGTGAACGAGGTGCCCTGGGTGATCGAGCCTGTCTACCTGGCGCAGTGGGGGACCATGTGGATCATGATGCGGCGCGAGAAGCGCGACCGGCGCCACTTCAAGCGCATGCGCTTTCCGCCCTTTGATGACGAGGAGCCGCCGCTGGACTACGCGGACAACATCCTGGATGTGGACCCACTGGAGGCCATTGAGCTGGAGCTGGACGAGGCGGAGGACGGCGCAGTGGCGCGCTGGCTGTACGACTCGCGCCCGCTGCAGCACACCCGCGCGGTGAACGGCTCCTCCTACCGCCGCTGGAAGCTGCCGCTGCCGGTGATGGCCAACCTGTATCGCCTGGCGGGGCAGCTGCTGTCCGACCTGGTGGACGCCAATTACTTCTACCTCTTCGACCTCAACTCCTTCATCACCGCCAAGTCGCTCAACATGGCCATCCCGGGGGGGCCAAAGTTCGAGCCACTGCACCGCGACTCCGACGCGCGGGACGAGGACTGGAACGAGTTCAACGACATCAACAAGCTCATCATCCGCACGCCCATCCGCACCGAGTACAAGGTGGCCTTCCCCTACCTGTACAACAACCGGCCGCGCGGGGTACGACTCAGCGCCTACCACCACCCCATGGTCATGTACATCAAGGCGGAGGACCCAGACCTGCCCGCCTTCTACTACGACCCCCTCATCCACCCCATCGCCGGCTACAAGTCGGGCGCTGGTGTCGCGCTGGAGGACGACTACGGCGAGGAGGACGAGGCCTGGGTGCTGCCGGAGGGCGGCGCGCCGCTGCTGGCGGACACCCCGCTCTCCAGCGACACCACCACCGCCGGCATCTCCCTGCTCTGGGCGCCGCGCCCCTTCAACCTGCGGTCTGGGCGCACACGCCGCGCCTGCGACGTCCCCCTCGTCGCCGGCTGGTTCTTCGAGCACTGCCCCGGCAACTACCCGGTCAAGGTGCGCGTGTCCTACCAGAAGCTGCTGAAGAACTACGTGCTGAACAAGCTGCACGCGCGGCCACCCAAGAACATGAAGAAGCGGTCGCTATTCAAGTCGCTTGCGGCCACCAAGTTCTTCCAGTCCACCGAGTTGGACTGGGTGGAGGCGGGGCTCCAGGTCTGCCGCCAGGGCTACAACATGCTCAACCTGCTCATCCATCGCAAGCACCTGGCGTACCTGCACCTGGACTACAACTTCAACCTGAAGCCGGTGAAGACGCTGACCACCAAGGAGCGCAAGAAGTCGCGCTTCGGCAACGCCTTTCACCTGTGCCGCGAGATCCTGCGCCTGACCAAGCTGGTGGTGGACGCCAACGTCCAGTTCCGGCTGGGCAACGTCGACGCCTTCCAGCTGGCCGATGGGCTGCAGTACACCTTCTCCCATGTGGGCCAGCTGACGGGCATGTACCGCTACAAGTACAAGCTCATGCGCCAGGTGCGCATGTGCAAGGACCTGAAGCACCTCATCTACTACCGCTTCAACTGCTTCCCCACCGACCACCAAGTCCTGACCGAGCACGGCTTCCTGTCGCTGGACGATGTCCAGCGCCACTTCCGGAGCAATGCCACCCTGCGTGTCGCCTGCTTCGTGGACGGCGCGCTGGAGTACCATGCCATCAACTCGGGCGATGTCACCGTGGCCGAGGGCAGGCACCGCCTGATCGCGATGCAGGGCGGCGACGCGACGGCCCGCGGCGTCTCGCTCACGCCCACCGACAACCACCGTATGTACGTGCGCACGGACGGCGGTGAGGCGGGCGGCGAGCCAGGCGGCTTCCGCATCGCCACGGCTGACGAGGTGCATGGGCTTGGGGAGCGCGACAACCAGGCGCGTGTGACCTTCCAGGCGAGCTGCGCGCTCGGCGCGCGCCCCGACGTGGGGGCGCCGCCCTGCCTGGGGGCCCTGGGGCTGCAGGTGGGGGAGGAGCTGGACGCCTTCCTGCGCATCTACGGCCTCTGGCTGGGCGCCGGCGCCCTGGACCCGGCCGCCCAGGCCGTGGTGCTGGAGGTCGAGTCGGGTGCCGCCCAGGAGGTGGCGGAGGGCGCGCTGGGCGCTCTGCGCCGCGTACTGCCGGCCGGCGACGAGGCCGGCGCCTGCACGGCGGCTGAGGGCGGCAAGAGGCGCTACGCCATCCTGGCGCCCGCCTGGTGGGCCTACTTCTCCGAGGAGTGCCTGCCTGCCAAGCAGGGCCGGGCAGTCGGCGGTGCTGTGTCGGGTGCGGATGGCAAGCCTGCGTCCATGATCATAACCCCTAAGGCCCTGTGGCCCTGGGTGCTGCGCTGCCTGGACCTGGGCCGCGCGCGGGAGGTCCTGCGCGGCCTCTGCGCCGTGGCCGGCGCGATGGGGCCCCTTTCGAACGGCGGGCATGTCGTGGTCGCCAGCCCGGGCCTCCGCGACGAGTTGGTGCGCCTGTGCCTGCACGCCGGCTTCACCGCGCACTTTGAGGCGGCCGGCGGCGCGGGCGGGTACCGCCTGGAGTTTGGCGCGGCGGCGCAGGCGCAGCCCTCGCTGCGCGTGGCGTCGGACTGCGAGGCGCGCCCCTACGAGGGCACTGTCTGGTGCGTCACCGTGCCCACCGCGCAGCAGCTCATCGTCGTGCGCCGCGTGCTGGCGGGAGGCGTGGAGAGCAGCAGCGCCGGAGGTGCCGGCGCCTCGACCGCCGTCACGGCGGCATCGCGCCCCGTGGTCGTGGGCAACACCGGCCCGGTGGGCAAGGGCCCCGGCGTGGGCTTCTGGGCGCCCACCTGGCGCGTCTGGCTCTTCTTCCTGCGCGGCATCGTGCCGCTGCTGGAGCGCTGGCTGGGCAACCTGCTGGCGCGCCAGTTCGAGGGCCGGCAGTCCAAGGGCGTGGCCAAGACGGTGACCAAGCAGCGCATTGAGAGCCACTTCGACCTGGAGCTGCGCGCCGCGGTCATGCACGACATCCTGGACATGATGCCGGAGGGGGTGAAGCAGAACAAGGCCAAGACCATTCTGCAGCACCTGAGCGAGGCGTGGCGATGCTTCGCGCCGGACACTCCCGTGCGCATGGCCGACGGCCGCGTGAAGCCGGCGGCGGAGGTCAGGGTCGGCGACCGCGTGCTGGGCGCGGGCGGCGAGGCGCTGGCTGTCCGGCGCACCATACGCGGCCGCGACGCCATGTTCGCCGTGGGCGTGCTGCCAGGGAATGCGCGCGAGGCCAAGGCGCTTGCTGGTGAGGGGTGGGCGCTGCTAGACCGCGGCTTCGTCTGCAATTCGCGCCACGACCTGGTGCTGACCTGGGCTGCCGCGCCGCGCGTGGTGTGCGGCGGCGACCGCGGGTCTGCCTGGGCCGTGGAGCACGCCGAGGTGCGGGAGTACACCGGCCCGGCATGCGGCGTGGAGCGCAGCCTGCAGGCGACGCGGACCGAGTTTGCGAGCGCGGACGAGGCGCGCGCGCACGCAGCCGCACTGGCTGCGGCCTCACCCCTGCTCTGGACGGTGCCCGCCGCGGCGTACGCGGCGTGGGCGGCCTGCCACCCGGGCGACGCCGCGTGCGTGCGCATGCTGCGTGTGGGGTGCGACCAGCTCCCTGTCCCTCCGGCGGTCAACATGGCGTGCGCACTGCGCGACGCCGGACTCTTCGGCGCCGCGCCCGAGGATGCCGCCTACCTGGCCGGCTGCCTGGCGGGTGCAGGGCTGGAGGAGCCACTGGCGTTTGCCGCGGTTGGCGAGGCGGGGGCGGTGGTGTGCGACCACGTGTCGCGCCTGGCCGAGCGTCTGGGTGCCATGCTGGAGCGCGATGCGCGCGGATACCCGCTCTGGCGGCTCGTATCCCGCGACGGCGCCTTGGAGTGCGCTCTTGGCGAGCTCACCGGACCCAGCCTGGCGCGTAACCTGCTCACGCAGGCGCCGGCCTTGCGCCGCGCCGCGCTGGCAGGCCTGCTGGACGGCGACGCAGCGGCGCACGGCGGCGCCGACGCTGCTGCGCAAGCGCTGGGCCTTGCCGGGGTCTCCTGCCGCCGCCGCCATGAGGCGGGGCTCCTGCTGGCGCAGGACCTGGCGCGCAGCCTGGGCCTGGCCTGCGACCTGTACCGCCGTGCGGGCCCGGCCGGCGACGCCTCGCCGACCACGGTCGTCGCGCCGGGCAGCGAGGGCGGGCTTCGACTATGCATGTCCGGCCCGGGGCTGGAGCTGCTGCCGCGCAAGGTCGCAGATGCTGTGGCAGCTCTGGGCGCCGACGCAGCCGACGCCCGGCTGGTGCGCTTCACCATCGCGCGCGTGGATGAGGACGGTGAGTACGTCGGATTTGAGCTGGAGGGCTCGCCCCTCTTCCTCCTGGACACCTGGATCGTGGCGCACAACTGCTGGAAGGCCAACATCCCCTGGAAGGTGAGGGAGGGAGTGACGGACAAGGGAGGGGGTGTGTTATGGAGGGTAAAGGGGGGGGCGATCAGTTGCTAAAGGATGTTCTAGGGTAAGTAGGCTGGCAGGACGATGCATCTACCTCCTGAGTGTGAGGACAGCTTGTGTCACATGTCTAAGCCGTGGTCACTTGCCCCTTTTTGTGTCAATGGCTCACCATATGAGTATCATACACCCACTTTGTGTTTTGGGGGGCCTGCATCCACGCTCGGCTGCTGCAATCTGCCCCTCCCTCACCCTTTCAACCCAATTCCACACCGTCACGCAGGTCCCCGGCCTGCCCGCGCCGATCGAAAACATGATCCTGCGCTACGTGAAGATGAAGGCGGACTGGTGGACCAACGTGGCGCACTACAACCGCGAGCGCATCCGCCGCGGCGCCACGGTGGACAAGACGGTTTGTCGCAAGAACCTGGGCCGCCTGACGCGCCTGTACCTCAAGGCGGAGCAGGAGCGGCAGCACAACTACCTCAAAGACGGCCCCTACGTGTCGCCCGAGGAGGCGGTGGCCATCTACACCACCACCGTACACTGGCTGGAGAGTCGGCGCTTTGCGCCCATCCCCTTTCCCCCGCTCTCCTACAAGCACGACACCAAGCTCCTCATCCTGGCCCTGGAGCGGCTGAAGGAGCAGTACACGGTGGCCACGCGCCTGAACCAGCTGCAGCGCGAAGAGCTGGGCCTGGTTGAGCAGGCCTACGACAACCCGCACGAGGCGCTGTCGCGCATCAAGCGCCACCTGCTCACCCAGCGCGCCTTCAAGGAGGTGGCCATCGAGTTCTTTGACCTCTACTCCCACCTCATCCCCTGCTATGAGATCGAGCCCCTGGAGAAGATCACCGACGCCTATCTAGACCAGGTGGGGGTGAGGGGGGGCTGGAGATGTTGGGAGGAGGGAGGAGGGGTTTGGGTGGGGCGATGGGTTGCTCGGACCACTGGAAACGGAGCTGCTTGGCAAGTCGAGGGTCTGTGCCTCGACACGAATGCCTCGGAGAATTGTGCTGGCCCGCTTCACATCCGACCCAGATGTGCGGCAGGGTCCCCTCCCCTCGCTCATACATTCCAAATCGCTCATTACCCACCCCGCCAACCTTGCACACACGATCCCACCCTTCACGTACACAACACACAGTACTTGTGGTATGAGTCGGACAAGCGGCACCTGTTCCCCAACTGGGTCAAGCCCGGGGACAGCGAGCCCCCGCCCCTGCTGGTGTACAAGTGGTGCCAGGGCATCAACAACCTGGCTGACGTGTGGGAGACAGAGAACGGCGAGTGCGTGGTGCTGATGCAGGCCACGCTGGAGAAGCTGTTCGAGAAGGTGGACCTGACGCTGCTCAACCGCCTGCTGCGCCTGATCGTGGACCACAACATCGCGGACTACATGACGGCCAAGAACAATGTGGTGATCGCGTACAAGGATATGGCCCACACCAACAGCTACGGCCTGGTGCGAGGACTCCAGTTTGCCTCCTTTGTCATCCAGTACTACGGCCTGGTGCTGGACCTGTTGCTCCTGGGCCTGACGCGGGCCAGCGAGCTGGCGGGCGCTCCCGCTGCGCCCAATGAGTTCCTCTCCTTCCGCGACGTGCGCGTGGAGACGCGGCACCCCATCCGTCTCTACCAGCGCTATGTGAACAAGGTGCACATGCTGTTCCGCTTCAGCGCCGACGAGGCGCGCGACCTCATCCAGCGTTACCTTACCGAGCACCCGGACCCCAACAACGAGAACATCGTGGGATACAACAACAAGAAGTGCTGGCCGCGCGACGCGCGCATGCGCCTGATGAAGCACGACGTCAACCTGGGACGCGCCGTGTTCTGGGACATGAAGGTGGGCGGTTGTCCTTTGGTGTGTTGGTAGAGGGTGCCGGACTGCAGAGGAGTGGCTGATGGGGTGGGTGCCCGCCTTGGATGCCGGAAACACTGCTGTGCAGCGCGAGGGTCCCCGGCCTTCATGCAAGTGTCCATGTCTGTGGTGCAGACCATGTCTCGTGAGCCTGGACCACACTTTGCCTTCCCACAGGGCATTTTTTTGCCCTCCCTGATTCACACCCGTTTGACAATCCTCCGCGCATCTCGCCGCTGCAGAATCGGCTGCCGCGCTCGCTGACCACCTTTGACTGGGACAACGCGTTCGTGTCGGTGTACTCGCGCGACAACCCCAACCTCCTCTTCTCCATGGCCGGCTTCGAGGTCAGGATCCTGCCGCGCGTGCGCGCTGCGGCGGAGGGTTTTGCGCACAAGGACGGCGTGTGGGCGTTGCAGAACGAGATTACCAAGGAGCGCACCGCGCAGGTCGGTGGCTTGGGGAAGGAGATGATGCATGGTTGGTTTGTGATTGGGGCCTGGATGCCGCACTGGCTATCTTGATGTGGCGACCTGCATGCATGCGTTGTGCCATCGACCTGCATGAACCGGGTCCCTAGGTGTGGAGCCAGGTCTTTTGTCCTCCTGCCTGGCTGCACGGCCCTCTCCGCTCCTCAGACCACTCTGGCGCACTGCTGCACAGTCCAGATGTCTTAATCCCCCCAAACCCATCCCTCCTCCCCCCTCCCCACCCCACCCAGGCGTTCCTGCGCGTGGATGACGAGGGCCTCAAGGCCTTTGAGAACCGCATCCGCCAGGTGCTCATGTCCTCCGGCTCCACCACCTTCACCAAGATCGCCAACAAGTGGAACACGGCGCTGATCGGGCTGATGACCTACTACCGCGAGGCCACGGTGCACACCCAGGAGCTGCTGGACCTGCTGGTCAAGTGCGAGAACAAGATCCAGACGCGCATCAAGATCGGGCTCAACTCTAAGATGCCCTCCCGCTTCCCCCCCGTCGTCTTCTACTCGCCCAAGGAGATCGGCGGCCTGGGCATGCTCTCCATGGGCCACATCCTCATCCCACAGTCCGACCTGCGCTACTCCCAGCAGACCGACCTGGGCGTCACCCACTTCAGAGCGGGTGTGTAGGAAGCAGGGGAGGGGCCAGGCGTATTGTGCAATGAGTTGGTCGAGTATGTTTGGGAACTCACAGCATGTGCTGTGTCTGGTCAGTGAGGCCGCCTGCTCCGACTCTCATTCCCCTAGCCCATTCCCCTCCAACTTCCTCCTCGACCCTCCACTCCTGCAGGCATGAGCCACGAAGAGGACCAGCTCATCCCCAACCTTTTCCGCTACATCCAGTCCTGGGAGGCGGAGTTCATTGACTCTCAGCGCGTGTGGGCTGAGTACGCGCTGAAGCGGCAGGAGGCGCTGGCGCAGAACCGACGCCTCACCCTGGAGGACCTGGAGGACAGCTGGGACCGGGGCATCCCCCGCATCAACACCCTGTTCCAGAAGGACCGGCACACGCTGGCCTACGACAAGGGCTGGCGGGTGCGCCAGGACTTCAAGCAGTACCAGGTGAGCCTCTCAAGCTTGGGTGAGGGCTGTGTGGGGGGGATGCCTTGATGGAGTGACGGCTGCCTTGGTGCTGCCAAGGACAGCGTTGACAAAGTTTGCCCTCCACCCTGAGCTACTCCCCACATCATCCCCTCCCCCCACCACCCCTCTCCCAACCAGACGCCGCGGATGAACCCCTTCTGGTGGACCCACCAGCGCCACGACGGCAAGCTGTGGAACCTGAACAACTATCGCACCGATGTTATCCAGGCGCTGGGCGGTGTGGAGGGTATCCTGGAGCACACGCTGTTTAAGGGCACCTACTTCCCCACCTGGGAGGGCCTGTTCTGGGAGAAGGCCAGTGGCTTCGAGGAGAGCATGAAGTACAAGAAGCTGACCAACGCGCAGCGCTCGGGGCTGAACCAGATCCCCAACCGCCGCTTCACGCTGTGGTGGAGCCCTACCATCAACCGTGCCAACGTGTACGTCGGTTTCCAGGTGCAGCTGGACCTGACCGGCATTTTCATGCATGGCAAGGTGAGCAAGATGCTAATGGAGGTTTTGTCGTTTCGGTGTTGGTGGGACCAAACAATGGCCCTGTTGGGGGGCGGTGGTTACATACGCGGTGGCCAGACCTTGGGCGCGCCATCCGTTCTTCCAGTTGCATCTGGTTCCCATTCTGGTCGCAAGCAGCTCGTCAAAGAGCCGAACTGCAGCCTCCCACGCATGCGCACACCCTCTTGTGGACACACACAGGCATGAATGTCCCATCATGTGTGTACACACGCAAACCTACCCTGCCCCCCTCCCGCCCACAGATCCCGACGCTGAAGATCTCGCTGATCCAAATCTTCCGGGCCCACCTGTGGCAGAAGGTGCACGAGTCGCTGGTCATGGACCTGTGCCAGGTGTTTGACCAGGAACTGGACGCGCTGGAGATTGAGACGGTGCAGAAGGAGACAATCCACCCGCGCAAATCATACAAGATGAACTCGTCCTGTGCAGGTGCCTTGAGAGGGGGCTGCTGGGTGTGTGGGTGGGGGGTGCCGGCTGGGAGTGCTAGCAATGAATGCTGCAAATGTCAGCAATGCATCATTGTTTGGGCATCCCTGACCTGCATATTGCACTGCACTCACTGCCCCATTCATCGACCTCCACTCCCCACACATCATCCGCATGCAACCCCCCTTCCCTCTTTCCCAACACACCAGACATCCTGCTGTTTGCGGCCTACAAATGGCCGGTGGCCAAGCCCAGCCTGATGGGGGACACCAACGACGTATTCGACCAGAAGGCCACCAACAAATATTGGGTGGACGTGCAGCTGCGCTGGGGCGATTACGACTCGCACGACGTGGAGCGGTATACGCGCGCCAAGTTCCTGGACTACACCACCGACAACATGAGCATCTACCCCTCGCCCACGGGGGTGATGGTGGGCGTGGACCTGGCCTACAACCTGCACTCCGCCTTTGGCAACTGGTTCCCGGGGGCCAAGCCCCTGGTGGTCCAGGCCCTGGCCAAGATCATGAAGTCCAACCCGGCCATGTACGTGCTGCGCGAGCGCGTGCGCAAGGCGCTGCAGCTCTACTCCAGCGAGCCCACCGAGCCATACCTGAGCAGCCAGAACTATGGCGAGCTGTTCAGCAACCAGATCATCTGGTTCGTGGACGACACCAACGTCTACCGCGTCACCATCCACAAGACGTTTGAGGGGAACCTGACCACCAAGCCCATCAACGGCGCCATCTTCATCTTCAACCCGCGCACGGGCCAGCTCTTCCTCAAGATCATCCACACCTCGGTGTGGGCGGGGCAGAAGCGCCTCAGCCAGCTGGCCAAGTGGAAGACGGCGGAGGAGGTGGCGGCGCTCATCCGCTCGCTGCCGGTGGAGGAGCAGCCCAAGCGCATCATCGTCAGCCGCAAGGGCATGCTGGACCCGCTGGAGGTCCACCTCCTCGACTTCCCCAACATTGTCATCACGGGGTCGGAGCTTCAGCTCCCCTTCCAGGTATGTGGAGTATGGCGGGGTCAGTGAGGGGAACAGGAATTCTGATATAGATGGGGGGAATGCTGGCTGCATGTGGTCGCTGTCCAGCTGAGAGCATGGCAGGCATCAAGCTGGGATGTGATTTCCTGGACCTGGCGAATTCAGCGTGTGCACAGTTGGTGAAGCAGCGTAGGAATTTGGCAGCGCTTGCGCTGCTGTATGAAAGCGCTTGTGCGTCCACCGCCAGCCCTCCAGCGTGCGTGTCTTGACTCTTATCATCTCCACGGTTGACCCATTCCGACCCCCCCCCCCCCCAAATTAAACTAAATAAATCCAACAAACCCACCAGGCCGCGCTGAAGATCGAGAAGTTTGGCGACCTGATCCTGAAGGCCACGGAGCCGCAGATGCTGCTGTTCAACCTGTACGACGACTGGCTGCGCACCATCTCCTCCTACACCGCCTTCTCGCGCCTGGTGCTCATCCTGCGCGCCCTGCACGTGAACGTGGACAAGTCGCGCATGGTGCTGAAGCCGGACAAGAGCGTGGTGACGGAGCCACACCACATCTGGCCCAGCCTGACCGACGAGCAGTGGATCAAGGTGGAGATCGCGCTGAAGGACCTCATCCTAGGCGACTACGCCAAGAAGAACAACGTGAATGTGGGCGCGCTGACGCAGAGCGAGATCCGCGACATCATCCTGGGCGCGGAGATCACGCCGCCCTCCGCCCAGCGCCAGCAGATCGCGGAGATCGAGAAGCAGGCGCGGGAGGGCGGCGGCGCCACCGCGCTCACCACCAAGACCACCAACGTGCACGGCGACGACCTCATCGTCACCACCACCAGCCCCTACGAGCAGGCTGCGTTCGGCAGCAAAACCGACTGGCGCGTGCGCGCCATCTCCGCCGCCAACCTGCACCTGCGTGTGAATCACATCTACGTCAACTCGGGTATGTGTGGAGGGGAGTGTTGGAGGGTGGGAGGGAGTGTTGGAGGGTGGGGTGGGGGGGCTAGAGTTAATATTGACATGATTGAGAGGGTGAACAATGGTGTGCAATGTCAGGAGGAGAGTCGCGTCGGTTTGGGCAGGCCTGGATTCGGAGGCTTTTAGCGATTCTGTCCCTGGCCCGGCCATCAAGATTCTCCCCTACACTCGCATTCAAGTCGCGTTCCTGGGTCTACATCGTGGCATCATTGCTCCTCCGACCCATCGATTCATCTCCACACTTCATCCTCTCACCCCGCCATACCCCCCACCTCCACTCGTGCAGACGACATCCGGGACTCGGGCTACACGTACGTCCTGCCCAAGAACCTGCTGAAGAAGTTTGTCTGCGTGGCGGACCTGCGGACGCAGGTGGCGGGGCTTGTGTATGGCTCCTCCCCGCCGGACAACCCGGCGGTGAAGGAGATCCGGTGCATCGTCATGCCGCCGCAGTGGGGCAGCCACGCAGCGGTCAACCTTCCCGCCGGCCTTCCCGAGCATGAGATGCTGTCGGACCTGGAGCCCCTGGGCTGGCTGCACTCTGCGCCCTCCGAGTCGCCCCAGATGGCGCCAGTGGACGTTGCGGCGCACGCCAAGGCGCTGGAGACGCACAAGTCCTGGGATGGCGAGCGCTGCATTGTGGTCACCGCCTCCTTCACCCCCGGCTCCGTCAGCCTGACGGCCTACAAGCTGACGCCCGCGGGGTACGAGTGGGGGCGCACACACCGCGACGCCCTTTCCAACCCAGGTATGTATTTGTTTTTTTGGGGGGGAGGGGGTTGATTCTGCTGCCTGCCTGGTTGTTCTTGTGCAGCCTTCTTTAGGTGGCCGCAACAGTCTGATCCTGTCGTGACCTCAACAAGTACAGCCCTCAAGCACCGTCCGACCCTCCTACTCTCTTGCAGCCGGGTTCTCGCCAGCGTTCTACGAGAAGGTGCAAGTCCTGCTCTCGGACCGCTTCATGGGCTTCTACATGGTGCCCGATGCGGGATCCTGGAACTACAACTTCATGGTTAGCATTTGTTTCTGAGGGTATTTGGGACAAGCGGGGCCTGACTGGTGGAGTGAAGGGCATGCTGTTGTTGCTCGGCGCAGTCGTCCATATATTCTGAGCGCTGGGCATTTACAGGCTCAAGCGGCATCGTGTACGCTCCACCACTCGCCACCCTTCTCACGCTCCGCATCCTCGACACAATGCAGGGAGTCAAGTTCAGCAGCGCGATGAAGTACGGGTTGAAGCTGGACAACCCCAAGGAGTTCTACGCAGAGGTGCACCGTCCCACGCACTTCCTAGAGTTCTCCGGACTGGAGGACGCAGGCCCTGTTGCGGACGTGGAGAACCCCTTCGCCTGATTAGAGCCATGCGCCTTGTACTGCCGCTGATCATCACTCGGACCCCACTGCACCGTTCTGGTTTACCCTGCTGTGTGTGTGTCTCGGTTCTTTTCTTAAAGACATCAGATGCCCCGGGTAAAGGGGCAGAGAATGCAGCTTTGAGGGGGTCAGGGAAGGTGGTAACAGGGGGCCGCCTGCACATCCCATCTCGGATGCAGGGCGCTGGAAGCCTCATGTACAGCAGGCAAGATGTGCATTGCCTGCGCGAATGGGCAAGGTGCTCCCTGAGAGATTCTCAGCACGCTGTCAGTTGTCATGCTGTTGTGCGAAGTTTTGGGGACGTGGTCTTGGAGTTTGGGTCGCGCTGGGTCTCGGCAATGGTGGCGCGCCGCAGGCCCATTGCCACGGCGCTCCAGCTCACCAGCGGCGCTGGCGTCGCCCCTGGGGGTCTAGGGCTGCTCCCGGCAGCGCCTGGCAAAGCACCATTCTCGGCGCCTGGCGAGGCACCGTTTCCCGCGTCTCGCGTCGCAGGCAAAGTCGGCGTAGGATCAGAGCTGCCAGCCGGCGGCGATGACGGGGCCTCCATGGCTTCCCCTGGCCGCCCAGCCGCGGCGGGCTGTCCAGCGTCCCGCCCCCGCGGGTCCATTCGGGCGCCATCGCCGTCACGCAGGCTGAGGTCGGCGAGTGCGGCGGTGGGCTCCAGCGGCTCGGCGCGAGCAGGCGACGCGGTCCCGCGAGGCCAGTCGTCGCCCCCCCGCGGCGTCCGGGTCCGGCACGCCGCCTCCATGTTGGCCAGCAGGGCCGCCAGGTCGCTGCGCAGGAGGTCGGCCTGCAGGCCGTCGCTGGGCGGCTGCGGCGACCAGGGCGCCGTCGCCTGCTGGGCGCGCTGGGCGCGCTGGGACACCCACGCGGGGCGCGGCGCGAGGGCCCTCGGCAGCGCGCCCTCTGGGATGCCCCCGCCCCACTGCCCCTGGGAGCGGGGGGGCGGCGGCGGCGGCGGGGGCATGTTGATGGGCGGGGGCGAGAGGCCGGGCCCGGCGCGTGGCCCCTGTCCCGTGCCGGCCCCATTGCCGACCAGCCCCTCCCAGCCGAGGGGCCCCAGGGAGGCCAGCCCCGCCAGGCAGGCCGCCGCCTCGGCCGCCGCGCGCATGGGGGCCTGCCATGCGTTCTTGAAGAAGGCGTCCACGCCCTCAATCGCCCCTGAGGGCGACCTGTCCACGGCCCCGCGCAGTGTGCGCAGGCCAAGCGCAAAGGCCGAGGCGAAGCGGGAGGCCGAGGCCTTGGACACGCTGCGTCCCAGGTTGTTCCCCGGCAGCAGCGCGTCCACAATGTTGATGTGGCGCCGGGGGAAGGAGGGCGGCGGGCCCGCGGCAGGCACGGCGTACTGCGCCAGGGCCTCGGCCAGGAATTCGGGGCAGAGCAGGGGGGTGGCCTGAGACATGGGCTGGGGGGTGACTGCGCGGGGAGTGGAACGGGGGCGCGGGGGGGGGAGGGGGGGGGGGCGGGTATGGGGCAGGAAGCGAGGGAAAAAGGGCGAGAGATGCACCGGCTGTGACACACAAGCCGCCGGCTGTGGGAATCAGTGACCTTCACGAGTCCGCCACCGACGCAATCACGCAAGCCCCTTTCCCTGATTACCAGGGACTGCCAGCACAGGAAGCTCACCCTTCATCTGGGGCAGGGCATCCAGGTCCAGGGCACCCTGCAGGCTGAGACCAACCCGCTCCCACTCAAAACTGCTGTACACTTCCAGGAACTTGGCCAAGACCTACGGGAAGGAGAGGGTGATTGGAAGGTGCAGGCAGACTTTGGAAAAGTGAAGCTCAAAGCAGAGACTGCCCCTGTACTGTGAATCTCCCAGATTAACACGGCTAAGCAGACCTTGACCAGGGGAGAGTTTACGGACCCCCATCAAAACACAATCACAGAAGCCCTCCCATCCAAGCACAAGGGACCAGGAGCTTGTGAAGCCAGTCTACAAGAAGGTCCCCAAAGTAACGAACACACCTGGAGGGGGGTGTGCACCACGCTGTGGTGCAGGTTGATGACATTCAGCACAAGGGTTTCCAGGGCGTAGGAACTCAGCAGGCCATGGTGGGCGCCCAGCAGGCGGGACTCGTAGTAGCACCAGGCCTTGATCTGCAGATCTTGGGATGGGGCAAGGTTGAGAAGGTACTCCTCGGTCGGTAAAATGGGCACTGCCTGACAAGGCAAGTGACGTCCCGGCGCTTACAATGTGCCCTGAAAACTTGCACAGTGGCCTCACATTCTGACACCTGGTAATGCTACCTGCCTTCACCGACCCCTCCCACCCCAAGAATCCCACAATTAACCCCATCCCGCCGTGCCTCACCAAGAGGATGCTGCGCTTGAAGAGGTGGGCCCTCCCGATGCGGCGGTCCATGCTCTCCAGAAAGGCCACCGTGCAGAGGCCTCCCACCGTCTCAAAGGAGATGTCCACCACCACACCCGACACGATGCACTTCACCAGCTGCACCTCGGCCTGGATGACCTGTATGTCCCGGATGGGGAGGTGGACGGGCCCCCGCCTGGCCTCCCACTCTAATGCACGGACGAGGCGAGGGGCCCATACGCCCCGCAGGGTGGCCTGATCCGTGCGTCGTGAGCAGAAGATGCTGACGTCGACGTCACCATCGGGGAGGTAGGTGCGCAGAGGGACAGATCCGAAGAGGAAGGCCTCCACCTGGCATGGAGTTTGCGTGATGCGGGTTGGTGACGGGGGTGCGCCAGAAGCAGCTGTGGGATGTCGCCACCTCCACCCTCGCTCCATCCCTGGTTGCTATGAAACGCACCTCATACTCGTTATGGAAGCATTTACGGATGATGGAGCAGATCAAGTGCGCTATGGCCAGGCGCCTCGCTTCCGAGGCAGGGCTGGGCTGGAGTGCCGACAGCAGGGCCGTCACTCGCTGTTCTGCAGCAGGATGACGCATGGTTGCAGATAGAATCCATGCGACGCACACCCGCTCGCAATCCTGCCCAAGGACTCTCTCACACACCATCGCCTGTCGGGACATGGTTCACAGAGAGGAGCGCATGTTCCCGCGCTTGGTCTCGCGATCTCCACGTCGACAAACGATGACGTGCGCCATGCCGCTCGAATCAGGCAGTGATAGCCATATGCGTTGCCCGTAAATGCTTTTGAGGATTCCCCCATCCTGTTTTGCTCCCCGGGCGGAGCTGAGCGTGCTTGGCCAGGTCCCGGAACAGCACCTGCTGCACCCCTTCCACCGCATCACATTGCGAATGGGCATAGCGAAATCCCCATTCTGACAAGTAGGATGTGAGTGCACCCCCCTCCAGAACATGGGTTCAGCCTCTTCTCGAAGTAGCGAGGTGGACATGGGGCGGAAGCGACAGTCTGGACGCCGGGCCCCGCCCCCAGCTTCCTCGACCCCTGCGGCCCTGAAGTCCCAGCCAGCCTCTCCTTGCGCGCAGTCCGCCGAGCCGGGTCCGGTGAGCAGGGCTTTTACCATGTCTCGTGCAGCCCACGGCTCGGGCACCCGGTAGAGTGTCGCGCCGATCGTGCAGTTCTAGTGCGCCCGGATCCTCCCTCATCCTCACCGACATCCGTCCACCGTCCCGCCTGACACCCCTACCCCCCCCTCAGTCCCTCGCCGGACACGAGTCGTTTCAGGACTGGCTCAGTAATTCCAGCACCGCCAGCCAGTCCTCTGGCGGCCTGCACGTCGGGGGTCCTGGGCAGCCCCAGCACGCACCACAGGGCGGCGCCCCCGCCGCGGCCTCCAACGCCGCGGTGCAGAGCTGGCTCAAACGGCCCCCCAGCTCCGCAGGCAGCGTGCCGCGCTGGTCCGGCGAGGTGCTGGGCGGGCCCCTGCCCGGCGCGGGCGCGCGCCCCTCTGACGGTCGCGACTCGCTGGCATCTAGCGCCGCGCGGCTGAGCAGCGCGCGCGTCAGCGTCACCTCCAGCGCCGACACCGTCGCCTCGACCTACTCCCTGGCGGGCAAGGGGCGCGGGTCCTTTGCGCTGGAGCGGGCCAGCCTGGAGTCCAACCGTGGCATGCTGGACATGTTTGCGGCGGGGCCTGAGACGCCGCCCGCAGGCGACGGGAGGGGGCCTTCCGCGGGCGGCACCCGGCCGTCCTCCATGGGCGGCGAGGCCGGCGCCCAGGCGCCCGCCCCCCGCGCCCCCTCCCTGGCCAGCCTGACCTCCGCCTGGGGCCTGGCGGGGGTGCACGCCGAACGCTGCGCGCGCCTCGCGGTGTTTGCCCCGCACTCCCCCGCTCCGCTCTCCGTTTTGGAGAAGCTGTGGGAGACGGGGACGGCGGAGGCGGGGGCCACCGTCGCTGCCATGGCGCTGCCGGGCGTGGTCAGCATGGCCCAGGCGCCAGACGGCATGCTCTGGTGCCTGCCGCAGCTGGACTGCCTGCTCTCGCTGCAGGTGTGTGTGGTGGGGGGGTAGGGCAGGGGGTTTAGGGAGGGCAGGCGGGGTTGGGGAGGGCAGGGGGTTTTTGGGAGGGCAGGCGGGTTTGGGGA